AGTTGAGGGGTGGGGGGGGGAGTTGAGGGGTGGGGGGGGGAGTTGAGGGGTGGGGGGGGGGAGTTGAGGGGTGGGGGGGGGAGTTGAGGGGGGGGGACTTGAGGGGTGGGGTGGGGTGGAGTTGAGGGGCGGGACGCGAACGAGTTTAAATAAACACGCAGATACGCGATGCCGAAAGAAAAAAAAACCCCGCGACTGACGATCTCCACAAATAACGCGGCCGAACGCCCCTCGCGCCTTTTGCAAAACGCCCCTCATCGCCCCCGCGAAACGCGTCGCGACCGCCACCGTCAACAACGCAACAACAAGCGACGCGCGCGGTTTCACCTGAAGGCGAACGTGAGGAGATGACGAGGTGGAAGCGGCGTGGACAGGGCGTTGTGTAGGTTGGTGGGGTGGGTGGGGGGGTAGGGACGAGTTGTTTCCCCCACGAGATTAAAATAAAGAAATATATATATACAGGCGACGCCGGCGGTTGACGCAGCTGGCGAGCAACGGCAAGCTCAGTCGAGCAGCGACGGGCGCATTTGCTTTCTTGTTGTTGTTGAAGCAGGAGAAGAAGACGAAAACAATCGGGGTGAATTTTTGATGTGCGTTGCGGATGTGTAAAGTGGGGGTCGACTGCGAAGGCGAGCGCCCAGGCTGTGGGGGTGTCAACCCGCCAACCCTGCCGCCAACACAATGGCGTCACAGCGCATCCGAGAGGCTTGGTCGTGACGTCACCCCACCAACGCCACCGCCGCCGCCGCCCCACCCCACACACACCGCGTGACGCCCCCTAATAAGCTCCTCCCGCGCGTCATCACGTAAAGCGCGCGACGTCACGACGTAGCGGCGCGGTGACGTCGCACCCCGCGCTCGTGACGCTACAGCGCCGCTCCTCCTCCTCCCCACCGCCGCGCTCCGACGCGCTGCACGTGCAGCAAGCCACGTGGCCGACTTGACGGTGAGCCCCGCCCACCACCACACCCACACCCAACCCCCTACCACGTCGTGCAAAAGTCGTCTCTAGTTTTTGATTGGCTCCCCTTGCCAATGATTGGCATTGATCGATTCGAAGATTACAATCGCCCCCGGCCACGGGCAATCCACCGCTGGATGAAAACCATTCCACCATCCGTCTTCGTCACGTTACACAAAAGAATATACTGTACACGTATATGCAGGGTGCTTCAAAAAATGTTAACGCTTCCGAAACTTTGCAACAATATCGCAAGAAATGTGTCTCTCCGGGCTCGAGATCACCTGGAGAAGATTCTAGGCATGCGTTGACAATGATGGCGAATAAGTGGAGACTCCTGACTTTTTGAAGCTATTAATATACTTTTCTTATCTAGATTTGAAGTTTTCGTGACTGCAGGGATCCATAATGTTTGGTTCTTTCAGGAAAGTGACGTAGGTATAAAATAAATTAAATCACGTGAAACGTGATTTAACTTATTTTATTTTAATCACGTGAATCGTGATTTATTTTATTTTATACCTACGTGACTTTACCGAAAGAACCAAACAGTATACATTTCTGATGTCACAGTGTAGTATTATCCGTTCTCTTTCCATTAAAAACGATAGTCGCATATAAGTGTGTGTTTTTTTTTAAGTAGCCTGTATATAGCGATGTGAAGTTTGTGGCACGAGTAAGAAAGACAGCCGCAATGCGGAGGCGATGGTGGATATCACACAATGTTGGATGGTATGCGATAGAATGCTTGATAACACCATCATGTATCGAGGATCACAGAGCTCGTGGGGGGGGGAGAGAATTTGGCACTGGCTTATTGTTTGGCTATCTTCTCACTTGTAACACGAATTGTTTTATCTTACCAAATAAGGCTCTTTTTCAGAAGTGACCTAGCCATCACAAATGATAGCCCAACGAAGTGGCTTATCGCGTGGGCATTTATAGCAGCCGAATACTATGCACGCGTGACGTTCATTCTAAATGTGGAGGGGGGGGGAAACCCGGAGAACCCGGAGAAAAATCCACGCGGCCACGGGTAGAGAGACACGCAAAACTCCAAATATACAGCAGCAGGCAAAGTCAGGATCGGGATGGAACCCAGGCACTCCTACACAGGCAGGCGATGTCGTTAACGTCTCACCAGCGCGGTTGGTGCCTTCGTGGTTCCTCACGCATCTATGAGCAAGCGAATGCCGCGTACGTTCCGAATAAAAATGAACTGTCGCACAGACATGACGAACGAGGCGGTGTCGATGAAACCATGCAAAATGAGAAGGGGGAAGAACGAAAGATATTACAGACAAGACGATACAAACAAGACAGTATAGGCTAGACGAGACGAAAGGATGAAGGCAAACAGGCGAGTACAGACGAAATCGTGCAGAACAGACGAAGACTACGGTACAGATCTGACGTTCCAGACTGAGACACACGGACACAGAACAGTAGAAATGGTTTTTTTTTCCCCCCCGTCAGGAACAACTTTTAAAGAGAAACTCTTCACGAGAAGTGCTGCGAGGGGCACGACTAGTGCCTTGGCAGATTGAGGGGGAATGAAGTTCACCTATTCTCTATTCTTAGATGCGTCTATTCTTGTCTGTCATCTACCGGAACAAGTAGTCATGCGGTTGCTTTCCTTGCCAACGCTCTGGAGGGTTTTGTGGACTTTTCTGTTTGGCAAAAACAAAACAAACACACTACATACAGTACATTCGTCCGTTGCCACATGTCTTAAGAGAAGCAACCTGGCACGAGCCTAATAGCAAACTTACCAGCCAAATTGCCAGCCTCGTGCCGAATCAAGTTTAAATGGCAATACTCGCAGTCAAAATTGTTTTATAACGCTCGCAATTTGGCCTCATGCTAATTCTTGAGGGCAGAGAGAAGTTGTGGCTGGGTATCACGTTTTACACACGGCCTGCCTAGGGAATATTGGGGGAGTTGAATACGTAGTTTTGAATCGACATACGAATGTTCTTCATTCGTAGATAACTGGGTATCAAAACAAACTCATTAAAAGTCAAAAATAAACTCATCTACATTAAATGTAAACTTCTCAAATTTTATTGCAAAACGCATCACAGAGGGTGCCGCATGATGCAGAGCCAATTATTACGGGAAATAAGTCATTTACTGGATATGATACTGTGTTTTTACGATTGGACTCTGAACTATGAACTCTGCCATCTAAATGCAATTGCCCTCCGCTGTTAACTTCAGTGGTGCGTGATAGATAACGCATGCGGGTATGGTCCCCTTCAAACCCACACTCACTAACATGGTGCAGTTTAGAGTCCTTCATCCAGGAGTGGACTGAAAAAAGGGCAGAAATGATCATATAAGGCTTACCGGTGTATCAGTGATGTACAGGTGACAAAAAAAAGGAATGCTGCTCATGTGCATTGTCATTACTATACTTAATGTAGTTTGCACAGCAATGTGTTGGTGCAGTCTATTTTCATGACTACTTTTTAAATGGACACTCAAGATGTCATCACGACCAAAGTCATGCTGGCACCACACTTCGCCAACGCTTTCCATTTTTTTGCCAGATCCTGCAGCTGCTGTACAGCAGCCACGTACGCAGAAAATCTCCAAGATCTGCCCTAACATTATTTATTTTCCCACCATCTGGTCTTCGGTTCTTCCCCTTGCTCCCCGGAATTGATACTCACGGGGGCCAGAAACTTCATGCACACACTGACACTGCTGTTTTGGCTGGGTTTTTTTTTATTTACTGCACATGGAAAAGGTAACGCAGGCTAAAACAGGCGGCGCTTTCAATCCTAAAACTGGACTCAAGCCATCCTCTGGTGTTGTGTCTGTGTCTCAATCCTGATGCGGTGCAGGAGGGGCTCTGGAGCTGAGTGGAACTTTGTCGAAGACCGCTGACCAGTGGAGGGCGTTAAGATGAACCTTTCCGTGTGGATGAAAGCTAATGAAGGATCCTACCGGGGCAATTGGAGGCAGCTGCCCTCCAGCGACGACATGCATTCTTCAGTGACCGGGGAATGCCGAATAGTAACTGAAGATCGACTCATTAGTGACTTAAGAGTATATTCTTTGGGTCTTTCGGTAAAGTCACGTAGATAGGTTCAAAGAAAATAACAAAAAATAACCAAAAACTACGACGTTTCGATCGCAACACAAGCGTTCATCATCAGGAAGAGGTGGTTAGCTTCTAAAGGTAAACTGTTTATAAAGGTTTGAAATGGGCGTAGCCCAAATGTCAGCAGCCAATGGTAATGTAAGTGGTGGGCGGCGACCGCGACGGTGGTGGGTTTTCCCACCAATCAAAAGGCTGCCAAGTAAACATTAGCATGATAATGTGAGATCGTTGAGAGGCCTCCACGGCGGGCGACCTGAGGTGGCTATGTTAATGTAAGAGATTAACATGTTAATGTGAGAGATTAGCATGTTAATGTAAAATATTTGCATGTTAATATGATAAATTAGTGTGTTAATGTGAGAGATTAGCATGTTAATGTGAGAGATTAGCATGTTAATGTAAAATATTTGCATGTTAATGTAAAATATTTGCATGTTAATGTGATAAATTAGTGTGTTAATGTGAGAGATTAGCATGTTAATGTGAGAGATTAGCATGTTAATGTGAGAGATTAGCATGTTAATGTAAAATATTTGCATGTTAATGTGAGTGATTAGTGTGTTGATGTGAGAGATTAGCATGTTAATGTGAGAGATTAGCATGTTAATATGAGAGATTAGCATGTTAATGTGAGAGATTAGCATGTTAATGTGAGAGATTAGCATGTTAATATGAGAGATTAGCATGTTAATGTGAGAGATTAGCATGTTAATGGGAAGATCGCAAAGCAAAAACCCCGAGCTCGGCGCGCGAGGTGGCTGTGTTAGGGTGAGATATTTAACCTGTGAATGTAAAATCAGAGAGCCGAATATAATAACTAACATCGGAAGGTGGTAGGATGGGAACATCACAACTAGTTACGACTTAAACTGGTTGACAACGTCCTTCCAATGATTGAAAAGATCTAATAGTTGTGTGAAAACCCTCCCCTGAAGAGTAACCAATAATTACCCTGGGCGTCCAGTTCACTCGAGATAAGCGTGCCAGTGGTCTTCTAATCTTTGCAACCTTACAATCGACAGTACAACGTTTATAGCGCACATAGCGTCAGTTATGCAAGGAATCATTACATGAACAGGCTGATAAAACAGCTAGTTGTCACACTTCTGTAGAGTGTGCAGGAGTTGGCATTTACCATTCAGTTAACCCATAACAACACCTGGTGTCTGTCCCAGCAGAGAACCTTCCACGCTCCACGTGGTCTCACTGTGAACCTAGCCTGGCTCACACTCGGTGATAAACGGCGGTTGTTGCTGTTATTTCAAAGATTTGCAGGGATTGCAAATGTTTTAGTTTATATTGTAGTTAAAATATATATGATAGCAATATGTGACCATGTCTTTTTATGTAAAGCAATGCATTAAGAAACACATACCTTTATATTTTTTTAAATAACCACAGCAATCTAATTATGAATATATAAAATGGTTAAACTGCATCAACAAATTATAGTAAATTTGAATTTAAAAAAAAACTCCATTCGCTTTCAATAATTAACACACCACACTTAATGGCACATCAGATAATACCAACGAGATTCAAAAGAGGTACACTGTACGTTGCACACAAGCAACTTCCACACATTGTGAAATGCCAACAGAAACTATGTATTAAAAAAACAAAACATTAAAATGGAGAGCACACTGCAAGACCAAAGGCAATGCAAGTGAATGCTTAGCAGAGACCACTGGTGACTAGGCCTTACTGTGACTCATCGGCCCGTTTCCAGACAAACAGGGTTCCTGTTTCCGGATTTAATTTCCCTCCAACTTTGGCAAACCGCGCCTTGGGTGCTGAGCTCATTCCAGCGTTATCAGTTTCCTTTACAGCTTAACGCCGCAATTGTTTATTATATAAGCGTGGAATGTTTAATGCTAACAGTCGGTGGTATATATTGGGGTTTTTTTTTGCCAAATTTCAGAGGGAAAGGACGGTCAGTCACTTTGCTGATGCACACACGAACGCTAACAACACAAAAGGCACGCAAACCCGCAAATCAGCAGCAAAGCACCCTCTGCTGGACAGAGGACCCGGTTTTTTTGATTCATGGAACAAAATCTATTTTTAACCCGGTTCCCTCAATCCAAAAAAAAACCTTCTATTCTCGATAGACAGCCGATTCATTTTTTTTGACAAGGTGTTCATATCCATGAACTGCCCTACAGCCCGCAGACCCTACCTCCACTTGGGAAAATAAAAAAAAACATAATCTTGCTGCCTTAATCAAAGACGGGGGGGGGGGGTGGTGTGCGGTAAAATAGGTTTTTTTTGTTTAAGAAACAAGCAATTAAAGTCTGGTTGTGAGCAATGAGACGTTGCTATGTATGTGTTTTTTTTCTTCACCTGAAATGCATAAAGACCTCCCTTTTCACTGCGGCTTGCGAGCCGGGGGAGCAAACATTGACAGCCGTGCTCCCGATTACAGCAACACTTCTGATTTTAGCTGCTGCTGCTGCTGCTATTGCTGCCAGCACGTTTCACAGGGGAGCCCGTGTCAGGAGAGCGTGTAGGGCCCGTGTCGAGCACGCACGGGCACCCTCTGTGCGCCCGCAGAAGTCTCCGCAGTCTCTGCTGTGCGCCGTGCCGGAGGGCTGCCGTGGAGTGGCTGCAGGCCGTGCCATGGAAATAACACCCACGCGCGCATGCACACACGCACACGCAACCACCAGTTACAATTATAGAAGGTGATGGTGCAGCCCTGCAATTGCTTTGCCTCCGCGACTGCCGGCGGAAGGGAGTCCCACTAGAGGGCAGCTCCCGGGAGTTAATAGCTTGGAAATCAAAAGTTAGCACAGGAATGAGCAATGCACTCACACGCAAAAATCAGTAAAGTTCTCCTTTTAAAAATGTGAGGTTTCTTTCAGTTGGTGACCCGACCTGGAGTACGGGCAAAGCCTGTTTTAATGCGTGGAAGTGATTGGATGGCTGTGGTTGCTCATTAGAGACACCTATTGATGGCTGGAAGAATTCCAATATTTCTCAAATCGTCATGATCAAGCTATTGATTTATTGAAGCATGTTTGTTTTCATAATAGTCCTCGGATTACTATTAATGTATTTAATTATGTTTGTCCGTCAATTAACTTTTAATTCAGGAAGTCATAGTAGCACAAGGCATGAGCTTCCATGTACGCTGTGGCTGTGATAAGACTACATCAAGGTAACCCTAACAGCGAGTTTCATTATTCAGTAAGATGCCCATTCATTCCTCCCTTTGTCAAACAATCTAAATATGGCCGGTGCTCTTTACATAACTAATGCCGTTATATCTCACATATTCGCAAATATAAAAATGGCATTAAACCAGTCATTGTTTATTACCTCGTCAAAAGCCACACCAATAATGCATCACTGCTATATTTTCGTATGTGATTTTCTTGCGATAAATTAGGTATCATCCACGCGGATTGTGACCAAGTGTGTGACTGATGTTAATTAACATTATGCACCATAAGGGATTACAAGGCTGACATTTTGGACATTAGTGGCGTTTATACTTACGACCAGTAAAACTAAGAATATATTTTTTCATATTTGCAGCAACCAAAGCTTACAGCCCGGAGGTTGACTGGTTCACTCACAGGCCAGAATTCTACATTGATTGTAACACCAGTTACCGGCTTTGAATATGTTCTAAACACTGTATAATAATGGCAATGACTAGTGTTGAGGGAATATGGGAAACTGCACGGTGTTGATTGCTTTAGGGGCTCAGGACTGCCCATGTGTTTGGGCTTGAGTGGCACCTGCCTGAGAGCAGATGCCACGCCGTCACGAGAAAGCCCTCTTACCTTTGTGAGCTCCTCAAGGCTCGAGGTTCGCGCGGAAAACCTTCTGGATCCTGGTTCCCCGAAGTGCGCGGAAGCTCTATCATTGAGGGCTCTGCCGTAGGGCCCCCCCGCCGCCAGTCGGTGCGGTCACCTTGAGTTGCCGGATTTTGCCGTGGAGGTGGTGGAGGAGGCGCAGGGTTCCAGCGCTGTGCCCCATGCCCGCGTCGCTGCCCCCTATGTCGCCGTTGCCCGTGTCGGGCCCCGCCAACCCCATGCCATCGCCCGTGTCCGCAAGGGCAGCTCGAGCCGGCACGGAGGAGGAGCGGTGCCGTCGTGGCAATGCGCTGCATTCCTGCCACAATGCAGCGCCTTAGCGACGAGAGACTGCCAATACTTTGGATTCAATATTTAAAAAAATAAACGTCGTGTATTTTACTGATCAAAAAATCGCTAGGCACGGGCCCGAGATGGCCAAGCAGACAAACCACGAATGGCAATGTGTGGGTAAAGTTGTTTATCCGCTGAATGAGTTGCGCAATACTGTACAATGTGTGCTGTCCGGGAGCTGTCCATTGTGTAATGTTCCTGGTGATTGCTTCGCCTGCGTACACAAAACATAGCGTCAATAACAACATGACAATGGAGAAATGAAGGCCATGCGAAAACAAAAGCCTCCACTCACAAATACAGAAAGTAGTGTCAATGCTACTATTAAATCTGACACAGCGCAGATTTTCGCGTTTTGCACTATATTGCCCTCTGATGCATTTCCACGGTCCGCACCACGTGTCGTCTGGTACGACGTTTCTCTTCACGTGCTGAAAACCGAATAAGCTCAGAAACACAAAAACCTACCAGCATGTGGAGCGGAAACGTCGGACACGAATGCCACACAACAGGCGGTACGGAACACACTGAGCGTCGTTCAACTCGAAATGTCGCGCGCGCGCCGCTGCTGTGCTCGCGCTTGTACCGCAGTAGCTCCGCGTGCAGCTCCTCCTGGAACTTGCGCGCCAGCTTGCCGGCCGTGCTTTCTTTCCACTGCCGCATCCCGCGCTGGACAGAGCGCAGCTCGCTGTCTTTCTCGCGCATCTGCTCTCGCAGCTGGCGCACCTCGTTCTGGAGCTCACACGAGCCGCCCTGGCCCACCGTGTAGCCGTTTTCACCATCCCGCTCGAGGCCCTCCCTGGAAAAAGCCTCAAGGTCGAAGCCGTCACGTCGTTGGCCGCACGGGTGCCCAGCGCTGCCGCTGTTCTCCCGAGCTGCGTACTTTGGTGGAGCGCCTCGCCAGCTCAGATCGCGCTGCTGATGCGGGCCCTGGATGCTGGAGATTTTGAGAATGTGCAGCTCTTCGTTGTGATCCTAATGAACAATAGCAGCAGTTTATGAACAATGCTGCGTTGAGAAAATAAAACGAAAACACAGCACAATACGTGAAACAATATCATTACTATTTTTAGACAATGTTTTTAGTTCAAAATCCCTGAAATGACATGGTCGTATAGATATGTTTTAAGGTACTACATTGAATTTTAAGTACAAGGCAAAACTCGCTAAATGCGGGGGATTACGTTCCTGGATAATGCCGTGTTGGGCAAAATCGGTTTAGACAAATAATGGACCTTATGGGAAAAAATAGGGTTGTGTTCCTGGGTCCAAAATTACCACCCCCCTCACTCTTTATTTAAGGTCTGTTTAGCTGAAACACGTGTTGGATAAGTCTCGCTGGGCAAGGTTTTCCCGTAATATGAAGCTAAAATTCGTAATAAAGGTTTATTCCTTGCTCAAATGAGCATTGAGGCAGTGCTCATCTCCCGTTTACAGTTCACAGCCCTGAACCAGCAGTGCAAATTCCACATTCCTATGGCAGGGCTGATCTATCCAAAGGACAATCGCTGTTGGGTTGAATCAACCCCCCAAGCAGGATTTGGCCTCGCAAAACTTCTGATGGCGAGCCGCTCGCTAAAGCGTGCCGCTGAGACACCTCGCCCGGTGAATTCTTGAGGAAGGCACCTGAATCAACCTCTCCTTGACCTCCTCCACGGCGGCTGCCTTTTCCCGCTCCAGTCGCTCCCTCACCTCATTCAGCTCCTTCTCCTGATGGAGGAATGGGGCCGCGGGGTTCACATTTACTTTAAGGGCATCTCAAGATCCAACACAAACACACTGAATCCAAAACCCCCCCTCCCTCCATCTCACCCCCCTATAGCCAGCGTGAGACTTTGTTTACTCTGCTTGATGCCACAGAACGAATCGTGTGTTCAATACATGCTGCAACCACTGAAATACCCACGAAAGAAGATCTTCCAGCGCTGCACACTGCGGGGTCCTTGTAAATAAAAACAAATTTATATTTTTTACAGTGGGGTGTTCATAATGTGGTTTCAGCTTAAATAACCTGGAGTTTAGCAGACTTTAAGGAATCGCTTTCAGGATTGGATTCGGCCTTGAAATAAATTACATTCGCCGAATTCTGAGAATTCAACCTGACCTTGGCTTCACATTAATAGGTAAAGGTGCAGCCCTGCAATTAGCTTTGCTCACGCCACTGCTGACAGAAGAGCCCCCACGAGAGATGGCGGCTGTAAAGGGCACCTCCGGATGGTATTTTTCCACGCTGGGCAATCTTGGTAAAAAGTGGCAGGAACCACACTTGACCCCGTGGTATCATTGTTTCGTGCAGAGAGATCTCTTTACCATTCTTCACTTAAAATGAACAGAGAAAGATGATTTACCGGTAATAAATAATAATCTGATTGAAAATGCTGAAGAAGGTACAATGCTGTAGTCCACCCGTATTATACATCACTCTTCCCTGTAACCAATATTAATATAACAGCGTATTCTACAGCGAGGGAAAAAAATAATTTGATCCCCCGCTGATTTTGACACGCGTTTTTCTGGATTTTTCTGTTGTTATTCTGTCTCTCACTGTTCAAATAAACCTACCATTAAAATTATACACTGATCATTTCTTTGTCAGTGGGCAAACGTACAAAAATCAGCAGGGGATCAAATACTGTTTTCCCTCACTGTATGTGTGCATGACTTCATTATATGAACATTCGTTTCATCCTCTCTCTCTCAAGGGAAATGTAAAGAGTTAACACCGCACCACAAATGCAAACGGCACACCCCCCCCACCCCCCCAACCGTGTGCCCCCCTCCCACCCCGTGCATGCATGAACGGTTAGCACGGTCGGGTGGCAGCTACGTACGGTGCGAAAGACGTTTAACATCCACGTGCAAGCACGAGCTCTCACGAGCGGCCCGGCAATCGGCGGAGGCGCGGAAGAGTGTCGCGGCACGGCGGCTCCCGTGAGGCCGTCTCACCTTGGCGACTTGCAGCTGCTGCGCCTGCCGCGTGCGGTCGCTCAGCTGCTGCTGCAGTTGCAGCACGTGGTGCCGCAGGTCGTCCCCCACCTCGCGCAGGCCCTGCAGCGCCTGGCCCGCGGGCAGCCGCGCCCCGCTGGCCCCCAGCAAACACACATGGCAGAGGCCCCGACGTAATTCAACCTGAAGGGGACCGTTCGGGGCAAGTGCTGTTCGCGAATAGCGGCACCGGTGAAGGCCGGCATCGCGCACGATGGGGGTGGGTAGGGCAGCGCCACGCCCGGCCGCCTTTTTTTACCCCCCAGTGGCGATGTTTTACTACACACCGCATTTAAGGCTGAGTCGACCTAGACAGTGGGGGGGGGGGGGGCTCCCAGGACCGATTCAGATAATCGTCACTGGACAAGCACACGCGCTCGGCGGACGGTGCATTCCATTCTTGAGCATGGCAATATGCATGTTCACAATCGAAATGCCAATGTCGAGGTGTGTTGACCCATGATAAGAGAGTGTGTGTAGCTTTGCTATTCCTCCTCCGTTGAAAGAGTGCAGACTAAGCATTGCCCGGGTGTCTATGATAAAAGTAAATAAAAATGTGGGTATTTCCACATCAACGTATGCGGGTCATTTTCACTTTCCCGTGATCTCAATCTGTTCTCGCCTTACCAATCCCAGCAGTTGTATACCTGTGTGTGGCTTTGGCAGGGCTCCTGGGAACGCTCCTGCTGCCTGTGCTCTCTATCAGCTCTTGAATCTTCTCGATCTCAGAAGCGAGCTCGGTCGCCAGACTTTGATCCTGCCGCTCAGCCTGCTCGCTCATCTCGCTCTGTCTGTCCGCAAACTCGGAGCTCAACGCACGCAACTCTGCTCCCAGCCTCTGGCTCTCCGTCTCTCCCTCGCGAAGCTCCACCTGCAAACGCAGCCTCTCACTCTCTCCGTTTTTGAGCTCCTGTCTCAGCCTCTGTACCTCCTGTTGGGCCGAGTGCAGGCTCTCCTCCCACGTCTGTTTCTCAATGTCCCTCTGGCGAAGCTCTTTCTCTTGCCTCAGCAAGGCGATCTCCTTTTGGTGAAGCTCCATCTCGATCCTCTGCCTCTCCGTGTCTCGCTCCCGCAGATCCTTCTGCATCCTCTGCATCTCCAGGCCGGATGCCTGCAGGTCCGCCATCGTCTTCTGACATTCTCTGTCCCTCTCGTTGAGTTCCTCCTCCATTCTCTGCGCGCCAAGCACCTTGTCGTTGAGCCTCTTCTCCAGCCTCTGGTTTTTCACCTGCGCTTCCTGCAGCTCCGCCACGAGCCTCTGGCGCTCCTCGTCCCCCGCCTTCTCCTTCGCCGACGCCTCCGCGCTCAGCGCGCGTAGCTCCTTCTCCGCTCTGTGCAGCTCCGAGTCTCTCGCGTGGATCCTCTTCTCCAGCTGGAGCTTCTCGCCGCCCCATTCCCTCTCCGCCTGCCGCTTGCTCTGCTCCGCAGCCTGCAGCTCGTCTTGCGCCCACTGCTGCTTCGCGATCGTCTCCTGGAGGCCTCTCAGGAGGCGATGCTTCTCGGCCTGGACTTCCTTCTGCAGCCTCTTCCTCGCCGCCTGCGCGGCAAGCAGCTCCTGCTCCAACGCCGCCCCCTTGGCTGTGAGCATTTCGACTTCGCGCTCCTTCTCCTGTGGGCGAGTTCGCAACGACGACAACAACAATGACAAAAGCAATCCACAATGTTCGCCTTTCATAGACTGTCGGCGCAAGTGTTGATAGTGAGCACCGACTGAGGGGCTGTCGTGGCATCACCACCACCGGCCCAAATTTTTCTCCCAACTGCAGATGTTCACGCGCGACATCACCGGTGCTCACTTGACGTTAAGATGACCTAGGGAAGGCCCACGACCCATTCAGACGCTGCTCGTCACTGATGTTAGGCTTGAGGCTCGGTGAGGCTTTCTTGGTTAAACAATTCAAGAGACAGTGTAGGAAGCTGAAGTCGAGTGTGGAGTAGAGCAGTAAATTGTGGTATTGAGCCCTCTGGTTTTAACGCAATGCACAATGAACCTTGTGACCTGGGTTCAATTCTTGGTCACGGCTAACATAAATTTTGCCCCCCCCCCCCCAATCCTAATTTACCAACCCGCACTGACCAGCGTGGTGAAGCATGGTCAAACAACCCACACGGCGTGTGGAGGAGGCTGTACATGCAGTGAAGTGTACACATTGCGTCCACGGTTTGACGCATGCCTGCCCGGGCGAGGGAGACGTGCGTCCGTGCGTGCGGGAGATCTCACGGCCTGCAGGTGGGCGCGCAGGGCCTGCAGGGCCTCTTGCCGCTCGTGCCGGCATGACTGCTCCACGGCGCACACAGCCGACAGCCGCTCGGCCTGCAACTGCCGTGCCTGGGTCCGCAGCTCCTCCACCTCCTGCCGGAACGAACACACACCACCGTGACCGCCAACGCCACGGTACGTGTGACGGGTCTTACCAAGGGCGGCGCCTTGTGCGTGTGTTCAACCTCTTTTTGCACCGTACGTAGCCAACCATGCTAATCGGAGGTGTCGGGGGGAAGGGCAACAAACTAAACACAAAAAGCAGTTCGAAAAGAAGTCAGTTTTACAATCTACATTCCAGAGTGCAATGCTCCGGTGGAGGAGCATTTCGGGAAGATGTTCGTCCACTTCACGGGCTCACTGTTTGTTAGCCAGGCCAGGCCAGGCCCGTGACTGACAAGGATGGGCAGTATCTAAGTGACACATGATGAAAATATGTAGCATCGTTACATTTGTAATTGGTATATAAATTCCACGAATGTGGATAGTATACATTTTCTCCACCTCTGGACTCAATGGATCCGTTGTAAGAGCGGTGAACTTTCCATTCTAGCATGGAATTCAAACTTGTGTACCGATATTTTTTTACAACAGAGTCACATTTGAATTACGTTATTTATTTAGCCCTTTGGGTGATCGCTTTATAACAACTCAAATACGAGCCAGCCAGGGGCGGCCCTGGCCTAGCTGCCAGCAACTGGTGCCCCCTAGGGTCAACCACGCAAACGGCACCCAAACCGCGAGGGCAGATCGAGGCAGAGGTTTTTGATAAACTGGGAAACATGTTGCCCCTATTTTCTGTTTAATGTTTTTTTTAAGCGGATTTCTTTAAACAGAGGCATGGTTATTCGGTTTCTACGTCCATCTGTCTGTCTAACCAATGTTTGTGAGATCAGATAAAATATAGACGCGGCATTTTCTGAATAGATTTGTACGCGACAGCGAGACGATATTTTAGACCAATTTACGGTATTTATTTCTGCAGTAACAAAAAAAAAGATTTGACATCAATATATTCTCAGAAATGCTGAGGAATGAATTCAAATTCATATTCCCTCTGTATGCGCACGGGAATTTAAATAATAACATCTTCGTTATTTTATTTATATATTTTTTTTATTTTTCCCTCTAATTTGGCGCCCCACTTAATTTGGCGCCCTAGGCGACCGCCTAGTTCGCCTATATCGATGGGCTTCCCCTGCAGCCAGCACTTGTGGATTCAAGATCATGAGTTTTGAATCAGACCTTCATTACATTATTTATAAATACAATAGAATCCGTATTTAAAAACAACCAAATTGTGACCAGGTCTCTTGAAGATAGAGGCAGCCAATAATGTAAAATGAGTTGCAGCTGTACACATCTCAGCGCCCGATAGGGAAGAATGCTAGCGGGCGCCCGACCTGGGTCAGCTGCGAAGTCACCTCCCGCAATCCACGCGTCGCCTGTCGCTCAGACTCCAGGTCCAGCGCGAGGGCTCGCACGGCCATCGCCCCCTCCTCCTGCCGCGCCACCCGCTCCCGTTGCCGCTCCATCTCCCAAGCGGCGCGCTCCGTGCCAACCGCTCGCTGCGCCTGCATGGCATGGCGGTGCCCGTGGGTGCACGTTGACCTGGCCGTCCACTCACGAGCGGGAGCCTCTCTGCCCACAATTATCTAGTCCCACAATTCTCGAGTCCCACAATCCCCTAGTCCCACAGTTTGCTACCCCCACAATTATCTAGTCCAACAATACCCTAATCCCACAATTCTCTAGTCCCACAATTATCTAGTCCCACAATTCTCTAGTCCCACAATACCCTAGTCCCACAGTTTGCTACCCCCACAATTATCTAGTCCCGCAATACCCTAGTCTCACAATTCTCCAGTCCCACAATTATTTTGTCCCACAATTATCTAGTCCCATCATTCTCTAGGACCACAATTATCTAGTCCCACAATACCCTAGTCCCACAATCCCTTAGTCCCACAGTTTTCTAACCCCACAATTCTCTAGTCCCACAATTATCTAGTCCCACAATACCCTTAGTCCCACAATCCCCTAGTCCCACAGATTGCTAGCCCCACAATTATCTAGTCCCACAATAACCTAGTCCCACAATCCCCTAGTCCCACAGATTGCTAGCCCCACAATAATCTAGTCCAACAATACCCTAGTCCCATAATTCTGTCGTCCCACAATTATCTCGTCCCATAATTCTCTATTCTAACAACTTTTTTACACCAACAACGCAACTGTAAAACTATCCTTCGGTCTCACTTGCAAAAGAGATGTTAATGTTTTAGCTCAAAAGTTAGTGAGCTCTACCCACAATCCCTTAACAAGTGTAATACATACTGGGATGGTGAATTAATTTTCATGTACGTGTCAAACCACGGACTTATTCCACAAATTAAGCCACATTTTCCAAATAAACTGTAGATAGTACCTTCGAAACGACACCCTGTGCATCATATATATCAGTAGGATGATACTGACACTTTGATGGTGAGTTTGCCTAATTTGTGAAAATGCGTTAATTACTCAAGGCCTCACCATCTCAGTGGCTTCCTCTCTGAGCCGAGCACTCAGTTTGAGGGCAGCAGCCTCCTGCTCCCTGAGGGCAGCCCTCAGCTGGCACACCTCCTCCTCCCTCGCCTAAAAACAAAAAAAAGTCAACGCGTGAGCTCAGATTACTCGCAAACACCATCAGAGAAAAATAAACTCTGCTGACACATCTGGGGCAGCGATGGTTCAGCGAACGGCACCGTCGAACCCAGTTGCTCCATAGTTTGATTCACAGTTATTGGGAAGTGCTGATCACCCGAAATAAATTGCTGGGAATGTGGACGCTTATTTTGCAACCCCATTTGTCAAGGCACCGTACGTATGAACTTCTTTCGCGCCGTACGTCGCCAACCGTGCTTATCGGAGGTGCGGAGGGAAACGACAACAAGCTGAACACAGAGGGCAGTCCTCAAGAAATGAGTTTTCGATCTGTATTTAAAAGTGCACAGTTCCAGTGGCTTCTTAATATCGTAAGATGCGTTCCAGACGGCTGCAGAAGCGAATCTGAAAGCGCGCAACGCAGCAATCATCGTTGTGTGATGGCTAGCCAAAAGCCTCTGCTGCGAGGATGACTGAATTTCGCGTGATGGTTTATGCCCCTTAACGTTATCAGCAGGGTATTGTGGTTGTATGTGCGTATGTTGAACTTCTCTTGCACCATACGCAGCCAGCCGTGCTAATCGGCGGCGCGCTTCATTTGTGGCAAGCGCTTTGAGCGTAACGGGTGCGACCAGTGCGACCAGTGCTGCATTGGTCAGACCCTGCAGGGCCTGTCACGGGCATCGCGGCACGCCCGTTGCTCGACACCCCGCGGGCGCATTGCCCCCGCGGCGGCTCACAGCGCGCGCCGGGCTACGCGCGGGGCCGCGTCCGTGTGCCCACCTTCACGGTTTGCGCGCAGTGCACGAACTCTGCCGTGTGGCGATCGGCGAGGTCCGCCAACGCTCGGCTCCTCTCCTCCTCCAGCCGCTCCGACAGCTGACGGGGGCGGGGAGGGAGGATGGCGGGGGGGGGGGGCATTGGGGCAGGGGTGACGATCATCGTGCGGGCAAACTCGCAAGCTTTGCTCAAGAGACGCAACGGTCAGCACAACGGCCCACGAGGGAACGAGGCAGCTAACAGGGACGAGCCTTGGATGCTTTCTCCTGCCACTCTTTGGAGCTGCGATGGGTTGGTTTAGTTTGGACGTTGGAGCCTTTGGCAAATGCAGTGATTTATGTTGGAAAGGGTAAAAAAAATTAGTGCATAAACGCTTGAGAGGTGATGCAATGAATTGAAATCCAAAAATGCGAAATAAAATCCGAAAGTGGGCCTGAAAATCCAACATCATCCCTGTAATGATAAAAAAATATGACTGTATAGATGAATAACTCCACGTGCAGAAAACTAAAAAAATACCACAGCAAATAAAAGGCTCAGAGTTAAAGCCACTGAATGGGTACAGGTAAAGCACCAATGTAAACCTGAAAAGTAGCCATGCGGCTGTACAGCACAGAGCAGGGCTTTCGAAGCTAAATTGTACTTGTATTTGCTGGTGGAGTTGAGAGCTAATATAAGAGGGGGAGCCTTATACGCAGTATATCCCACACGCCTGGATGTGGTTCAGCCATCTGTAATAGAATCGCCGCGCCGTGCTGTTGTACGATTGGACGCAAGCCGATTCCACATGAAAGAAAACCAAGAGTGGCAATTACTGACGGATCATGACTGCGTCTGTGTGAGAAAGAACCACCTGCTCCAGCTCCTCGGTTTTCAGCCTCACGAGTTCATCTCTTTGCTTCTTTAGAGCTCCCTCCTGAAACAGGAAAAAATAAGAGACAACTTTAATAACCTCGACGCAGACAACGCATTTCTTTCATGGCTTGCTCACATCTTTTAATTGTCGACTGTGTTCATTTGCACGACAAAAATGAACCACCCACACCACCGCCACCACCAAATGTCACCCTGTTTAACACGTAGGATTTCGCGACCAATATTATCCATGGCAGCGTAAAATATGTGTCGTTAAACCCACCACCACCCGACACAACCAATTAGTAAGGCTTGTCACGTAAACAAAACGTGCCAATTCGTTCTGAGTTCAGCACACCAAGTCTTCTTTGGTTCTTTCGGTAAAGTCACGTAGAATGAGAATAAAATAATAAATTGATAAAATAAAATAACACAATAACTCACACAACACAAGCGGCCGCTTGTGTTGTGGCCGAAACGTCGTGAGAATATTATTGTGTTATTTTATTTTATCAATTTATTATTTTATTCTCATTCTACGTGACTTTACCGAAAGAACCAAAGAAGATAAATCATTGCAGTCACGAAAGCTTTAAATCGAAAAGCACGCCAAGTGTTGCAGAGTAAACCCACAACATGTTGTGGGCAGTACTCGCAATGTAAATGTCGTGGGCAGTACTCACATTGTAAATGTTGTGGGCAGTACTCGCAATGTAAATGTCGTGGGCAGTACTCACATTGTAAATGTTGTGGGCAGTACTCACAATGTGAATGTTGTGGGCAGTACTCACATTGTGAATGTTGTGGGCAGTACTCACATTGTAAATGTCGTGGGCAGTACTCACATTTTGATTTAAAGCTTTCGTGACTGCAGTAATTCATATTCTTAGTTTTTTCGGTAAAGTCACGTTGAAGAGAAACAACAAAATAACAAAATATATATAAAACAATAAAAAATTCTCACGACGTTTCGACCATAACTCAAACGGTCATCATCAGGTGTGTCGGTTTGCATAAATTTATAACGGCACATTTATTTATAAAAAAAAAACGTTGGCGTCACGCGCAGCGATTGGCAGTTTGCCCAGGACTAGTCCATCTATTTTTTTGAAAAGAGGAGGGGGGAGACGAAATTTTTTATAATGTATGCTGTCTGAAAGCCACTGTAAGCGTGAACAATCAATCAAGAACTGAAATGATTTATCAAATCTTTCCAATGATTGCTAAGATAGAATCCATCTTCTCGGTTGAAATTGTCTCTGTGCTTGTATATGTGGATAGCCTCATGAACGAATCTCTCATGGAAGCCAGATGTGGGCAGTACTCACAATGTAAATGTTGTGGGCAGTACTCACAATGTGAATGTTGTGGGCAGTACTCACATTGTAAATGTTGTGGGCAGTACTCACATTGTAAATGTCGTGGGCAGTACTCACAATGTAAATGTTGTGGGCAGTACTCACAATGTAAATGTCGTGGGCAGTACTCGCAATGTAAATGTTGTGGGCAGTACTCACAATGTAAATGTTGTGGGCAGTACTCGCAATGTAAATGTTGTGGGCAGTACTCACAATGTGAATGTTGTGGGCAGTACTCACAATGTAAATGTTGTGGGCAGTACTCGCAATGTGAATGTTGTGGGCAGTACTCACAATGTAAATGTTGTGGGCAGTACTCACAATGTAAATGTCGTGGGCAGTACTCACAATGTAAATGTCGTGGGCAGTACTCACAATGTAAATGTTGTGGGCAGTACTCACAATGTAAATGTTGTGGGCAGTACTCACAATGTGAATGTCGTGGGCAGTACTCGCAATGTAAATGTCGTGGGCTTTTACTTCTTACGATGTGAAATTACGCAGCACAACGTTTGCTTTACACTCCCACCCGACCGGACAGAAACATCAATCTCCCGCCCCTTACCTTCTCCAGGGCGAGGCTCTCCACGGTGCCAGCGAGGCGCCTCACCTCGTCCTCCCTCAGCCGCTCCACCTCCCTGGCGTGCGCCGCTCGTGTCCTGGCCAGCTCCCTCTCCCTCTCCTCCAGCTCCCTCTCCTGTTGTGCGCGCAGCATCGTCAGCTCAGCCTGCAGGCGAGCCAGGACAGCGTCCTTGTCCCTCGACTCCTCCGACACCCTCTTCACCTCTGATTCCGCCCACCTCCGCACCGCTGCGGTCTCCCTCCCCTGCTGCAGCTGCGCGCGCGCAAGCTCATCCGCCTTCGCCTGCAGCTCCGTCCTCTTGTCCTGCAGCTCCACCTCCTTCTCCTGGATCACCGCTCCCCTGTCTTGTAGCTCCACGCCAATCACCTTGTTCTCGTCTCTCAGCGCGCCGAGCTCTGATCTCAACCTGCCCTGCTCCTCTTTGGCCCTCGCCAGCTCCACCTCGAGCCGGGCGTGATCTTCCCTCTGTGCCCTGAGGTTCTCTCCCTTCGCCCTCATCTCCACCTCCAGCCTTGTTTGCTCCTCCCTCTGGGCCCTCAGCTCCTTGCCCTTGGAATCGAGCTCCGCCTCCAAGCGCAGCGCCCGCTCCTTGCTCTGCGTCGAGGCCAGCAGCCGGTCCGCGAGCACGCTCTCCAGCGCCGTCTCCCTCCGGCTCCTCCCCAGCCGCTCCACGTCTCGCTCCTGGCCAGGGGACCTGTCCTGCTCAGTGAACATCAACCAAACAGCCACCGCTGTAAGATCATCATCGTCGTCGTTGTCACCTTTGTCGTCACGACGGTGACCATCATTAGATCTGCTACCATCAAGAGCATCATTATCATCATCATCATCATGTTCAAATCACCATGAACACCAACAACCACATCTCCATGCTGGAGAATATGCATGTCGGGATAACGTGTGCACACCGTGCGGAAAACCTAGCGAACACGCCGACGTTGGGCCCAACGTTGGCGTGCACTTGGAACCGCTGGGCCAACGTTGGCCCAACGTTCCACGTTTACCGGGAACACACAACGTGCACCCGAGAGGAGGGTGTTGTGTCCGTGTCACCGGAGCGTGCGCCTCCATTACCCTGGCGGCAACGGTGCCGGGGGCAGCCGCTGGCAGCGCATGCGGGAGGCGCGGTGAGGCGAACGTCTGTGCGCTTCCGCTTGCCGGGGTCGTCCGAGCTGCTGGGTCTGCCCGCGTCGCCGCTGCTGCCGCTTCTTGCCGGCCGACCAGACCTGACCTGCTGGACCCACACAGGAGCTCCGTCTATGACGACAGCACGCGGTGCTTATATTCATCACGGTTGCCGAGTAGAGGCCCCAAGTCTCAAAACCTGCCAGCGGTAAACCTGGGTATACGTCAATGTAATCGTTAAAGAAAAAAAGTCGACAGCCATTTGTCAATGCGCTGCTGGATGACGAATTCCCCGTGGGGTTTGTTTGACCATACTTCACCACACTTGTTAATATGGGTTGGTGAAGTTGGGGAGGGAGGGGGGGGGTCACCAAAGACAGGTTCGCATTTCACTCAACGCTGATGTCAGCCGTGGGCTGGGAGTCGAACTCAGGTGGCCAGGTTCACAGTGCAGTGGCGTAGGCCACCGCGGCACCGCGCACAACAATGGCAGTAGTAAAGTTGTTGCTCTCTAAATCTGGGGCAAACGTTTAACCTGAAGCCATTTGAGTAAGATGATACAATGGCAAAATATCGACCAAGTTTACAATGCCCCCCTTGCCCTGGGCTGTACTCTGTTCTAGCTGAGTTTAGTGCATGCCACCTGTGCTCTGGGTGATGGCGCACGTGCCACCCACACTACTCAGGTGTGTTCATTAAAGAGCGTGCAAGACATACCTCCCCATACGACCGCAGTCACCGCAATCCAGCAAGAAGGGACAAATCGTGGCCCAAGTCAAAATGTGTTCTTTCGATAAGTTGAAAAGAATTAACGAGAACCTTGCAACAATTTAGCAGTAAATCATTCGTCTTTACAGAAGAGGTCCGCGAACCACCTCTCATTCGTTGCAGTTCCGCGCAAACCGCTGCAGGCAAGTTCGTCTTCGATTGTGAGCACTGCAGAAATACTATTATTCCAATGGTAACACAAATCGGCAACGTATCTAGATGTTAGATATGCTCCACCGGCTTGTTTATGCGTTATTTACGTTAATTTTCCATTGCATTTGCAGCTCGTCGGACCTGTCAGCGATTTGCAGGTCCAATAGAGACTCAGCAACGCACACACTGCTCAAACAGTGCTACAGCATCAACACCAGAGCCTAACGAACGACATATCACCCCATCGTCCATCGCTGGTAAACCTTGACGCATGTTGGTGTTTTACAACAACAACAACCCCCTTTCGCAACCAAGTGGCAGTGACTTCATCACGGCGCCTGTGCCAGCCCAGGTGCACCGTGAGGCCACGTGAAGTGTCGAAGGCTCGCTGCGGACTGGAGGTCACGGGACAGACCCAGGTGCCACATGGATTGCCCGACCGACTGAGACGACTGGCAGATGCACCAGCTGCGCCCCCTGCTGTGCCAACTTGCAACTCCGGCTGACCGCCTGATGAGGCTGGTTGTAATTACCGGCGAAACGTCGTACTCGAATCGTAAATGCCGTGTGGTTTACTCTCCGACACACCGGTGTTGCTGAACTAGTAACGTGACAAACCTTACTAATTGTCGGGTGGTTTCGGGGTTTAACGACACATGTACATTTACGCGATCTAACCCAAAAAAAACTATTTTATGGATAATATTTGGTCGCGAAGACCTACTACCACTACTACGTGTTAGACTTGCTGCATTTTAGCCGCCCGGCGCTCCGCTCGGTGTTTTACACAACAACAATAAACAAACAACGACAAACCAAAAAACACATCCTTTCCCCGACACTTCATTGCATAGTGTACATTGTTTCTAACAGTTCCGTGGTTTTTTAAGTGATCTCTGATTAAAACACAGAGGACATGAAAAATACGAATAGGTTTTTACCCTTTTCTGGCAATACAACAGGAGGCGTTAAGATGTTCAAACACCAAATAGAAACATTTTGCAAGGAATCCAAGTACTGCCTTAACCACACACACAGTACTTTTTGGTGAGCATGATAACATAGTGCGTGTAAGTTCATGCAGTACTTGATTTCCTCGGCAAAATGTATCTATTTTGTTGTTTGAACATCTGAACAAAACTCACGTCGTATTTCCATAAAGTGTCAAACCTGTTCTTATTTTTCATACTTTTGATACTGGCAACAACAACAAAAAAATGCCCCACGATACAACAGAGGACAACAACGAGATCGACAACAACAAAAAACACCGAACCATCTGCGGTCATCTGACCGGTAACAAGTGACCGCATCCCGGACGAACACCGCGCACTTGAACCTCACCGCGGCCCGGTGACCGCGGACATCACCACGACCACCACCACCACCACCAACTCCCCCACCAACTCCCCCACCAAAGGCCGACAGCCGACACGACCGTCAGAATCGGGATCAAAGAATACGCGTCTGCGCCTGGAGGAATCCGATGAGCCTGCGAAGCCGCCCCAATGATCGTCCGTACGTGGCGCCGACTTCTTCCGAGGCCCAGCCGTGGGTGAATCGGGAGGTTTGACGAGAACTGGACAAGTGGCAGTCCGTTAAGGACCCTTCACCCCCTCCTCCTGCGCCTCCCCCGTCCCCGGACCTCGACGTACGTGCAAAGGAGTCGATGAGTTTGAAGTGTGTCGCGCGACGCGGTGGTTACCGTGGGAGCCGGCTGAGTCGGAATGTAATTAACCGGCGACGAGGATCTGCCGTCAACAGAAATGCCATTCAACGTGCTGCCGCTCTTCAAAGCAACAGCTGCGTTATGGGGGCCTTGTGTTTTTTTTTGCCGGTATCAAAGGATGACAACACAAGAATTAGGGGGTTGTTTATTTAGCCTTTTCTGGCAAGAAAGAAAGGGGTAAAAAAATCTATTCTTATTTTCATATACTTTGACACTTGCAAAAAAGGTCACATTTTGTGTAGCTGCTCGCCCCGAGCTATAAATGCCCTGACAGTGGCATTGCCCTTGTGCTGTTCGCCTTTTGGCGTTCTCTGGTCCAATGGCGGAGCCAGGATTTTCAGGTAGGGGGGAGCAACCCCTCCAGCAATGAAAAATGATAGAGGAGTTGTTAGTAAGTAGGGACTTGTTAGTAAGTAAGGACTTGTTAGTAAGGAGTTGTTAGTAAGTAAAGGACTTGCCCCTTGCTTTTTATTAGACGCGTGTGCGGCGATGGCGCAGCCATCGATCGAGGGTCGAATTCGAACCGCGTTGTGTGATCGGCATCGCGCTCGCTGAAGGTGAATGCCTTCAGGGAAGTCGTGGACTCTGTATATGCAACTGCAGCACAATTCTGAATCACTTTTAAGTGCTTTGTCGTTACTTATTGCCAATTATGGACTCAGACTATTGTCCTATCATCTCATAGAGTCCCTGGCACGTGATAATATGCTACACAGTGGCAGTGGGGGTCGCAAAATGCCGGTTTATTACTAATAAACCCCAATGATCCGATCGAAATTAGGGATTTCGATCGGATCATTGGGGGGTGGCACGTGTCACCCGTGCTCTGGTCTGACACTGGAAGTGCGACTCGGCCCTCACCACGGCTGTCTCTGGTGCAGACCGCTCAGTTTCAAAGACAATGCAAATATTACTGGTAGGAACCTCCTGGTTACACCAGCCCACAGGGGATTATTGTGTCCATCCGTCCGTCGTGCATCCATAAATGGGAGGGGTGGGGCTGGGTGGAGAGGGGAGGGTGGGGAGGGGCTGGGTGGGGAGGGAGGGGCTGGGTGGGGAGGGTGGGGAGGGGCTGGGTGGGGAAGGTCGGGCTGGGTGGGGGGTGGGAGGGGTGGGGCTGGGTGGGGAGGGGCTGGTCACCCCGTGGTGCCCTTATAAAACTCAACGTTTCACCTACTCACGCCGGCTTGTGCCCGCCCTCACAGTCGGGCATATTGTGCTGAACACACCACGTGGTGCCGCCGTTGACCCTGGCCATTGACCGAGCAACCCAACGTTCCTACCAGCTCCCTCCGCAGGAATGTGTTATGAGAACAATGTTTGTTTGCATGTTCACCGCAAGCACGTGTGGGTTAATGCAGTGCTTGATTCCTTGCAAAATGTTTCTATTTGGTGTGTGAACATCTCAACGCCTCATTTTGTATTGCCAGAAAGGGTAAAACCTCTTCTTATTTTTTCAAACAACTACGTTGCTGTTGTTCAGCACCCACTGTGCCGTGCGTTGCCTTTCCTCAATCGCCGCCGATAGCAAATGTTCAGGACGGTAGCCGCCCTCTTAACGGCGGTGATTGGTTCCACAAAAGCTGTCGTTAGGTGATTTGGTCGTGAAGCGAGTATAGGAAATGCACGTTGAACGGCTTAATTCGTACCGATAGCGTCGAAAGTTACCCTTTTTCACCCAAAAAACTTAATTTATAATATTTAAAGAATGGATATTAATACATAACGATACTAACAACGTAAACACATGATGTTAAAAGAAACATGGTTATCCAATGCATTAATATTTACTGTACCTACAACAGCCCGTCGTTTACAGGGGAGTGGTCAATAAGCGAACACATTGGGCTCTATGGAGGCACTACATTACTATACACTATACACTACACTATACTACACACTACACTACTATACACTACACTGTACACTACACTACTATACACTACTATACACTATACTACTATACACTAAACTACTATACACTACACTACCATACACTATACGACTTTACACTACTATACACTACACTACTATACACTACACATTGGGCTCTATGAAGGTCTATCGTTAAGCAATTCGTCGTTAACAGAGGTGGCTGTTAAGAAGAGTTCCACTGTACCGAATGTTGAACGTCTTCAGCGAGCCGTGCGTAGCCACCCGTGCGAATCGGCGGTGCGGGGATGGGGATAACAAACTTAACGCATACAAGCACTTCTAAAGGAAAAGATTATTTACAAGTGCTTCGCTCCAGTGGCTTCCTAAATATCGGAAGGAAGAGCGTTCCAGACGGCCGCACGAGCAGCAGCTCGTGTGAAAGCGCCCCGCCAATCCGTCCGAACTTCTCACCTCCGCGCACACACTTCCCACACCTATCACCTATCTCCTCCCCATCCCTGCTCCTTTCCCATCCTTTCCCATCATCCTCGTGTATTCACTTTCCTCATTCCCTCGGAGCACCGATTTCCTCCCCCACCTCTCCGCCCCGACAGACGTGATGCCACTTGAGGGTGAGCGTAAACGCGATACGCTCGCTGTGCTCCTCAAGAGGTTTTCAGTTTCATTTATTTGGCATAGCCCTGTGAGCCATTCGGCTCTTGCATCGTGTGCAACCGCAACAAACAAAAACATTGAACAAGAAACTTAGCAACTTAAAGTTTGCCCTTGGCTGGGGGTGATGCTGAAACCGCTTGAAACGCTGGCCCAGTCCGTTCGGGTCATTTTGAACAAAGGGCGAATTCGCATCTCAAGGCGGCCAGTCACTAAACCACTGTGGCTCTTATTCTTGGTTCTTTCGGTAAAGTCACGTAGAGGGGAAACAATAAAATAATAAAAAAATATAAAACAATGAAATTCTCACGACGTTTCGACTGCAACACAAGGCAATCATCATCAGGTGTGAAAACTACAGCTCTTTAAGACATTTTGTTTCCTTAAAGGCATTTCTCTCTTTGTTCATTTTGTTGTGTGTTTTTGGGAGTGTGGAGTGGGGGGGGGGGGGGTATTTGTATCCATGTTTAAATCATGAGCCTGCGTGCTTGTATTAAGTTTTAAAAGTGCGTTAGTTTTTACTTTCTTGCTTTTAGCTCTATGCACAGTGGCTTGCGACCTCGGGGTGAAACGCGTTTCATAAGTTTTAATTATTATTCTTACAATTTTTCAGAGGGGGCCACTTTCACCGATAAGACTAAAATTATAAACTATACATGTTTTATTTTAACAGGTAAGCGCCCACTGAGCTATGTAGCTCTTATTTTTCAGAAGTGACCTGGCTATCACAAATTATAGGTAAACGAAATGGCTTATCATGACGTGGACATTTATAGCAGCAAAATACTCCCTAAACGCATGTCGAGTCTAAATCTGGAGGGAAAAACTGGAGGACCCGGAGAACAATCCACACGACCACGGGAGAGAGACACGCAAACTCCAAATGTACAGCAGGCGTCAGGGTTGGGATCCAGCCTACGACCTTCTGTATACCGGGCAAAGTAATTAACATCTCACCACATCATCAGTTTGAGGGCCGCCACCCATTTGAAACCATTGGGTTTTGACGGTACGACGATGATGGGGGGGGGGGGGGTATTTTCACATTTGTGTATTTTCACATTTGTGTATTTTCACATTTGTGTATTTTCGGGGCCGCACGTCCAGGGAGTCGCACTAAAAGCCACCCCAGTGTCCCCGCGGATCTTGCAATGAAGAACGCTGGCGCTTGAGGAGTCGTCACCGGGACAGAGGCATTCTAAGAATAAATGTTACCTTGTTCAACGAACTCACTAGGCTCTAGAGGTGGTGCAATTTGCTTAGCGCACAGTGTTTTGAAGCCGGTGGCCCGGGTTTCATCCCCGGCAAAACATCAGTGGCGAGTGATTATAGATCTCTGAACTGATCCTCGGCTGCCCCCCATCACAAAACGGGCACTGACCGGTGTGGTGAAGTATGGTCAAACAACCACCGTTGTATTTACTTCATTGTACAAGCACATATATTAAACGGGGTTATGCAAATGCCACGGGTGTTGGGAAAATAGTTATATTCATAATTAAACAATTACCTTTAAATTCAACCAATACGGTCAAGTGCAGTACTGTGTCTAGATGGTAGCAAGATGAGAAAAAAATTTCAACAAAAGCCAAATGAACCATCACATGCAACATTAAACACAAGCACTGATGCATTTGGAACAATTCGCCTCCATCATCAACCATGAACAAACAACCCCCGTGGCTGAACGAAGGGCTCCCCAAGTCATCACCATCCATGACAATAATAACTTTTACAGTATTTAACCTGGAGAGACACACTCCGTTGTAAGACTCTTAAGGGTCCTGCATTGGGTTTTTAATTTTAAGATGTTTTCACCCAATTATTATACAAGTGTAATGACAGTATAGCCTACATGCGCTGTGAGTGGACTAGTGACTACGGGAGGTAATGACAGGGGAGTCAGCTAAAGTGCTAATGCACTAGTGGCCACGGGAGGTAATGACAGGGGAGTCAGCTACTGTGCTAATGCACTAGTGGCCACGGGGAGGTAATGACAGGGGAGTCAGCTACAGTGCTAATGCACTAGTGGTCACGGGAGGTAATGAAAAGGGGTTATCAGCTGTGAGTTCGAAGGGACTGGTGGCTTCAGGAATGATCGAGAAGGGAGCGTGGTCAGGTGACGGAAGAGGACGGTGGAGTCTGCCGGTGGAGCGAGCGTCCAGAGTCAGCGAGAATGATTGAGAAGGGGGGCGTGGCCTCGTGTTGGTATATAAGGGAGACGCGTGGGAGGCTCGGGGCTGTTGACAGTGGTGTCTCCGCCTGATGTCAAGTGAACGTGTCTTCAATAAAGTGCCATCTCAAGAGAAGTGTGTCAAGTCGTCATTACACAAGTGTGAGCAAACCGGAGTACCTGGAGAAAACCCACACGCGTGCGAGGGGGCAACACTCTATCCCTGTACAGATGGAAACACGTGGCGATTAGTCCACTCGCTGTACTTACCTTCTCCTGGCGAGCCAGGAGTATAATAGCACCTACCTCTACGCGCACGGGGATGGAGTTTCGTAACACGCGTGCGATCCCGCCATGATCACAGCGTGACTTGAGCGAGTCGAATTGTTAGTGTGTGTGTGTGAGCATCTCTTGAAATCGGTTTTTGCTTTGAAAAACACTTTTCCCAACAGCCTGTGTGGGCCACATGGGGAATCTTTGTATTTGTATTTTGTGTGTGTCTGTGTGTGATTATGAATCGGTTCCGGGCCTCACCTAGGTCGACTCAGCCTCAAATGAGTACCTGCTGCGATGTGTAAACATCGCCACCGGGGCGGATAAAGGTGGCCGGGCAGGGTGCTGGCCACCCACCACCTCGTGTGCCGTGCGGGCCATCATAGGTGCTACTCGCTAACCACACTTGCCCCAAAAGTCTGTTAAGACTATAAGGGGGATCTTTGTCTTTGCATCTCCATTGCTCCATTCTCATTGTATGTATGTTGAACTTCTTTCACACCGTACGTAGCCAACCGTGCTAATCGGAGGTGGGGGGGAAGGACAACTAAACGAAAAAAAGCAATTCTAAAGAAATTAGTTTTTCAATCTCGATTCAAAAGTGCAGAGCTACAGTGCCTTCCTAATATTGGAAGGAAGAGCGTTCCAGACGGCCGCAGAAGCGCATCTGAACGCGCCTGACGCAGCGGCCGTCTTTGTTACGACGGCGAGACAAAAGCCGCCGGCTACTGCTGCTGCTGCTGCGAGGATGACCGGAGGTCGAGTGACGATGGTGACGATGGTGACGATGGTTTACGCTCCTTGACGAGACTGGGGGAGGGGAGGGGGGCCCGGTGCGCTTCCGGTTGCCTCGTTACCTCTCGGCGAGGCCGCTCCAAGGGACCGCGCCGCTCGGACGACGTCTCGGGCCCGGGGTTTCGCTCCGCCCCGTCCCTGGCGGCCCCCCGCGCCTCTCCAGGAAGCTGCCGTCCAGCAGGGAGGGCCCCCCGCTGTCGTCCGAGGACAGCTCGTCGTTCGTCGAGACCTCCCCGCGCTCGTCACCTGGAATATTGCGGAGCTTTACGGCGCAGATCCAGCCCGCCTTTTTCAAACCCAGGCCAGTGTGCGCGCGAAGTTAAAACCCCGTACTGTGGTTGTTGCTGTTGTTGTTTGGTTGTTGTTGTTGTTGTGTCTGCTGATTGGCACATTGTAAAGAGGTCAGTGGGGGCAGTACACTTCACCATCAAACTAAGACGAAATGTTTTTTGTTATTTTACCAGGTAAGGCCCAATGAGCAATATAGCTCCTTTTCCGAAGCGACCTGGCCACAATGATAGCTCAACAAAGTAGCTTATCACGTGGAAATGTATAGCAGCGAAATACTCTAAACACAAGTTGATTCTAAATGTGGAGGGAAAAGCCGGAAGTGCCGGAGAAACTCATACAAGACCACGAGGAGAGCCAATATGCAAACTCCAAATGTACAGACGTCAGGGTCGAGATCAAACCCAACCATCAGGGTTGCCATCTGCCTTGGTTGTATCAGAACGTCGTCTTCTTTGAGGTGGCTGTCCTCAGGAATCTGCAAGTCTTCGCGGGACATAACAAGTCCCGGTTTGTGTCTGCAGCCTAATAATTAATCACTCAAAAACAACGCTTTTAACCTGAAGCCCTGCCCTCTTTCTTGGCATTTCGAGTAATATTTCTTACGAGGAAGCAAAAAAAAAAGAGTTCCGTGGTTTGTTGAACCTCGGAGGTGGCAACGGAACTCACCGTCCCTGTGCAGGGCGTGACTGAAGAGGGAGCGCACGTGCTCGGTGCGGACAGACTCCAGGTCGCTCTCCACCGTCACTTCGTCGAAGCTGCGCAAGGGAACTCCTGGATGCGAAGACAAATGACCCCTGTCAAGACACGCAGACACTTGGGCCAAGTGCTGTGAGGTGAGCACCTGGACATGGGGAGGAATGGGAAAAAAGAGGGTCGTGTCGCCGTACAGAGACTCTGAGGGCAAGCGCTGCTTGCGAACACCTATTAAGGCCTGAGAGGTGTGTGAGAGGTGTGTGAGAGGTGCGTGAGAGGTGTGTGTGAGGTGTATGTGAGAGGTGTGTGAGAGAGGTGTGTGTGAGAGGTGTGTGTGAGAGGTGTGTGTGAGAGGTGTGTGTGAGGTGTATGTGAGAGGTGCGTGTGAGAGGTGTGTGTGAGGTGTATGTGAGAGGTGCGTGAGAGGTGTGTGTGAGAGGTGTGTGTGAGAGGTGTGTGTGAGAAGTGTGTGAGAGGTGCGTGAGGGGTGTGTGTGAGAGGTGCGTGAGAGGTGTGTGTGAGGTGTGTGAGAGGTGTCTGAGAGGTGTGTGAGAGGTGTGTGAGAGGTGTGTGTGAGAGGTGCGTGAGAGGTGTGTGAGAGGTGTGTGTGAGAGGTGTGTGTGAGAGGTGCGTGAGAGGTGTGTGAGAGAATGATGCAGCCAGCACCCCATCTTTGTTTCCCCAACGCTCACCTAAGGCTGAATTGACTCTGGTCAGGAGTCAAACTCAGGTCACTGTGTTTGTCGAGCAGTGCAGTAACCAATGCGCCACAGCTCGACGTACACATACATACACACACACAAACTATAAACAATATTTTTTATTTTATTTTACCAGGTACAGCCCACTGAGCTGTATAGCCTTTTTTTCAGAAGCGACCTGGCCACAAATGATAGCTCAACGAAGTGGCTTATCACGTGGAAACTTATCGCAGTCAAATACAAACAATAGAGTTCACTCATTGCAAGGGGAGGGGGAAATAGATATATTGAATAACTGCATAGGCGCATTAACTTATCACGCGTGTAAGTTTCTCCAAGGTGGAGCAGCCTTTACCAGCGAGCATGCGGGGCAGGCTACCGGCCATCTCCTTGTCGCTCCCACGAGACAACTGGGCCTCCCAGCTCTCCCAGGAAGCCCCCGGCACCGACGTTTTCTCGGCAGCCATCGCCGTCGTCCGACGCTCGCCAAATCCGGGCCGGCCTCCCTGAGCACCATCCTCCCACGGAGCAGACGCCCGGCTCGGTGGGCCCCTGCCACAGCCGGCGACGCCAGAAAGGATGCGCGAGAAATCCGGCTCCTTTTGGGATGGCGAAGAAGAGGCCGTGACCTCAAGTCGAGTGTCGGTGAGCTGGCCCAATTTTGTTCTGGCAGTCGGGGAGGGAAGGTTCGGCATGGGAGTGCTGCCTCTGCCAGTAAGGCCGTGTCGGCCCTGCTGGTCCATGGCGAAGCTGTGGCCGGTCGGCTTCGTGCCACTCACCGCATCGTGCATGGCGGATGGAATCGTGGGCGTGGCGTGTGGATTTGTAGATGCTAACATACTGCTGTCTTTGTCTCTGTTTCGATTCGGGGAAGAAACCGGCGCATTTACCATCAGAGGCGTGCATCGGCTGCCAGCCGTCAAACCTTCTGGCGATTTTGAAAAATGCTGCGCATCTTCGCTGCCCTCTTTGCTGTGCATCTCCACCGTGGAGAGGTTGCTCACGGCAGTCTGCGAACTCCACCGCCCGTCACTGCTCGATTCAACGGGAGGACCAGGAGCCTCCGACGAGGAGAGGTTGCTGCGGCTTTTGGCCCGAATCTGGCTTCCCAGCGAGTTCCTTCTCTCCGGGTGATAATCGTCAGGCAGTTTTACTCCCGCCGCTTGGGACGAGCCCTTCTCTTTCACAATAGCGGGGGAGCTCTGCTTCGTCATACCTTCCCTCTCACGAACGATCACCTCCTCGAGATCGCTCGCGAGGTCGTGCCTGAACTTCTCAACAAACGTCATGCCCCTGCGAGCGTCGGCCCGTGACGCGCTCATCTCTCCGTCTCTACTCCGACGCGAGATGTCGCGGCGACGGACGTCGCCCGAGTCCGCGGCCGCCCCCGAATCCGGCGGTGGCTCGGCGAGCTCGTCTCCGACGGGCACGGCCGAGGATCGAGCGCCTCCACGGGGCCGGATCAGCTCCTCCGTGCAAACCGAGGAGGCGTAGGGGCCATCGCTGTGAGCACCGTCTTGCAGGGACGGCGAGGGCGAGCGTGAGACGGCGCCGGCGCCACCGTCCGCCTGCGGGCAAACAAAAAAACGCTTCAGCGGACGCGTCGTGCGAAGTTTCACCGACGCACAGTTTAGCGCTTCTGCGCTTTGAGATGCCAAGGCTCTATGCGCCCTTATCAATGACGATTCTCACCCTTGCCTTGATGACAAGCACTCCCCTCTGCAACCCTCACCTGTCTGTTGGGAATTCCCAGCAGCTGCTGCACCCTCCATGTGTACTCCTCGGTCCGGGCGGCCCGCACTGGGTCCTGTATTCCTGCCACCGCCTCCCCTGTTTGGGCCCACATTTGGGAAAAAGCTGGCAGTGGGAAATCAAACACAAGCAGCGACAATCCGTGAAACGTTGCCACCTTCCACTTTAGAGAGAAGTGTCGTCAAGAAAGGGCTTTGAAGTCGAAGTCACGGCACGACGCGGTGGCGAGATGTTAACTACCTCGCCTGGTAGTCAGGTCGGTGTATCGATCCCAACCCTGATGCCTGCATATTTGGAGTTTGCGTGTTTTTTTTTTCTTCTCCGGGTCCTCCGGTTGTTCCCTCCACATTAAGAAACATGCGTTAATTATTTGCCTGATATACATTTCCACATGATCAGCCACTTCATTGAGCTATCATTTGTGGCCAAACCACTTCTGAAAAAGAAGCTAATAGCTCAGTGGGCTTTACCTGGTAAAATAAAAAAATAGCATATAGTTTTATTTTTATTGTTTTTTGACAAGCTTACTTTTCCTATACTTCGCACTCCTGTCGTGTTTTTGTATAGTTATAACTTTCTGACATGCCCCGACTGCATATCTGTGAAAAAAAGAGCTCTATCGCTCATTGGATCTCTCCAGCATATATACATATTCTGATTCTGTTTGGCGGTTCACGTGGGGTTTGAGCGTTTCGAGTAACGCAAGCATCTCAGTGGGAACGGCTACCAGGATTATGATGTGCACTGGATGCACACCAATCCTTCACGCGTGTCACGGTTGATAATTGTCTTTGCAAAAAAAAAAGCGCATTCATTAGTTACGACTAGGGCTGCCGAGTGCGGGGTAGGAGAAAGCGGAACATTTTATAGGAAGACGCAGAAGATGAATATCTCACAATACCGGAAGAGGGGAGAGCTACATGGGATGCACACGACAAATCGTGGACTTTCCGTAAGCTACGAATGGCAGAGGGTTCACCACCGGCACACTGAATTCAATTCAATGTAAGAATATTGTTACGAAAAATAATATAGCAACATTATGACCGCGTAGGTTTTCACGATCGTGCTGCATAGCACTCCGATGTGTTTTATGGCTGCACCGCGAGCCTTTCGGCACGATGTCCGACGTTTCGCTCTGCGTACTTGGAGCCACTTCAGAAGCAGTAGATCTTTAACGATACAACTATCATCATTATTATTATTATCATCACCGTGTTATCGCCACCGTGAAAGGCTTACCTGCAGAATCACAAGCCCGCTTGCAGCCTGCATACCGCTCTTCACCCACTTCCACAATCTCTATTTGTCCTTTGCTCCGGGTGCCAGCTCTGTCGGGGTCAGAGGTCAGCGTGTCGTCTGGGGTGCTGCCCCCACCCCCCAGGCCCGTGTCGCGGCTCCCCGTGTCACTCTGGCCGGCGCTGCCTGCTCGCACGCAGGGATGGATGGATGGATGCACAGTCGGATTAATCAGAATGATCAGAATATTTATTTGTTGCTGCAAGAGGAATCCGATGAGCTGTGAAGCTCTTTTTTTTACACAGATGGTCCAGTAAGGGGGCATGGGGTCAGAACGTCACAACGACAAACGATACAAAAAACACGACAGGAGTGCAAAGCATTAGAAAGGTAAACCAATCGCTCAAAAAATATATCCAAATGAAACTAAAATATATTTTTTTTATCTTACCAGGTAAAGCCCACTGAGCTATCTGCTTCTTTTTTCAGAAGCAGACCTGGACACAAATGAGAGCCGAAAGCATCCAGAGACGTGCCCTCCCCTAGACCTTTCTTAACAGTTTGAATGGTGTAATTAACCTGCATACATTCCCTAATCCACGTGTTACAAATATAGCATGTTCAGTTATAGACAATTAGTGTTACAAATTTTATTTTATTACCTTGCTGTAGTTATTCGGTGTTATACTACAAATATTTTCCACTGAACAAGTTGTTTCCAAAGGCATGCATTTATTTGTATTATATGCCACAGTGTTCATATTTTAACAAATTACGTGGCGATGCTGCGTTGGCATTGGTGCAATAGCACAGATAACAAAAACCTCGACATGTTCAGCAAAAAAACACTGCCGTAAAAGGAAAAAAATATTTAGGTGACTTTTCGGGCAATGGTTTTTCTTCATAGCATGGCGTAAGAAAGGCCAAGGCCTGAAACTCCAACGATTATAAATTTTCCTATTCATATTAGTTTCGTTTCAATCTAAGGGTGAACCTCGCAGTTAAATATTTTAGGTGAATCCATCTATGTAGAGCAGGGGTGGGGAACGTCCAGCCCGCGGGCCGTATGAGGCCCGCAAAATCATTTGGTCTCTGGCCCTGCCAAGGCAACCGCAGGCGGGACTCGAAATTCAATAAATGTAGGAGAGCAAACCTGGAAAAGCAGTTACGAGTAGCAACATCGTTAATACCGGCTAACATCATCACACGCCTCGCCAAAGAGGAGCAGTTCCAGCCATCGCATTAGGGGTGAGTTAATTAAATGTTTGACCAAATATAACGGGCTAATTTTTAAGTTGATAACTTTGTACGGCCCGCGAATGATGTTATAAATATCCAAATGGCCCTTGGCAGAAAAAAGGCTCCCCACCCCTGATGTAGAGGATACAAAACGATAGTTCAATTCTGCTTGATGTCTGTATCAGTCAGGGACATGTGGGGGGGGGGGGGGGGAGGGGACACATACAGGCCGCGACCGGGAGATGAACGAACGTGCAAACGTCTCGGTGATTGAATGCACAAAATCTCGAGCAACTCAAATAAACAACCAACCACAGTGAGCGGGTCGGATTGTACGTTCACAGCTCAATGATTTTGAAAGGTTGAACAGATTTGCTTTCACTCAGGACACAATGAAATGCCGTTGTGACATCGTGAAGACAAGAATAGTTCTTTCAAATATTATTTACTTATTAAAACCGGCCATCCCGCAAAACTCGCTGGACACGTGGGGCACGCTTTGGCTGACCTGCCGTCTCTGCCGAGTCGAAGCTCGTCTTCTGCGTCTGCACTGCCGTCTCCTCCTCCTCCTTCTTGTTTGGGCTTCCACTCTGAAAAACGAAGGCCAAAGTTTGGGTTTACAACACAAAATGCGATTCTGTAACAAAACGCACAGTTAAACACCTTAAACACGGTAGGACCAACACCTCGGCCATGGCAGATCATTGACTTTTCCAAGACAGAGGTTCTTTGTAAGCCATCTGGCTACCATGAGAGATTCGTTCATGAGGCTATCCACATATACAAACACAGAGACAATTTCAACCGAGAAGATGGATTCTGGCTTAGCAATCATTGGAAAGATTTGATTAACCATTTCAGGTCTTAATTGATTGTTCACGCTTACAGTGGCTTTCAGACAGCATACATTAATTTTTCGTCTCCCCCCTCCTCTTTTCAGAACATAGATGGACTCGTCCTTCTAAATAAACTGCCAAATCGCTGCGCGTGGCGCTGACGGTTTTTTATAAATAAATAAATACACCGTTTAGAAATAAATTAATTAATGCGAACCGCCACACCTGATGACGACCGTTTGTGTTATGGTCGAAACGTCGTGAGAATTTTTTAAATTGCTTTATATATTTTATTGTTTCCCTTCAACGTGACTTTACCGAAAGAGCTAAGAATAACCAAACGCACAGTTCTTTGAGAGAACTTCAAAAGGCACGAAGTGCGCTGCCGCAGGCCACCTCACCAGTCAACGTCTGCCAATGACTGCTAATAACATTATCATTATTATAGCAATTAAGGTGAGCGTAGGATGATCATATGTAATGATAGATATGCTCCAAAGAATAACAACGTAATTAATGATGATTGAAATGATGAAGACAACGGTGATGATGAGGATAATGATGAGGATGATGATGACAATGCTAATGTAGAGGATGATGATGATAACAATGATAAGGATAATGATGAGGATGATGATGACAATGCTGATGTAGAGGATGATGATGATGATAACAATGATGAGGATTATGATTGCAATGTTGATGTAGAGGACAATGATGAGGATGGTGGTGGTGATGAGGAGAATGATGAGGATGATGATGGCAATCTTGTTGTCCTTCCCCCGCACCTCCAATTAACACGGTTGGCTAAGTACGGTGCGAAAGAAGTTAAACGTACATACACCGTTGATGTTGAGGACAATGGTGAGGATGATGATGATGGCAATGCAGATGTAGAGGACAATCATGAGGAGGGTGATGATGAGTACAATGATGGTAATGCTGATGTAGAAGACAATGGTGAGGATTGCGATGGTGATGACGACGACGACGACGATCATGACGATGATAGCGACGAGCCACCTGCAGGCCCCGCAGCACAGCGTCGATGGAGTCCAGCAGGAGGTCGCACTGATCCTTCATCACTCCCCGGGGTGTCCCCACGTCCAGCCCTGTGGTCGAGTCGTGGAGAGGCAAGCACAGCACGGCACTCACCAGGGGCTCCCGACCATCGCGTCGGCGTGCACACAACGAGCCCCCTGGCCAAGTGGCTCCCGTCCCGCATGGCCACAGGCCCCGAACCCTAGCGCAGAGCTACAGTATGTCCGAGATGTCCTCAAGCGACGTCTGGTCCACAAGCCAAGAGCAGAGGCATATTGAATGATACGGACTTTTTTTGTGTAATCGTTGCGAGCCCTCTGAACCTGGCCGTATGTTTTTTCTTCTTCTTAATGTGTGTTCGCTTTCTACGTGATTTGAAGCTTTCGTGACTGCAGGAATCCATACTCTTTGGTTCTTTCGGCAAAGTCACGTAGGTAGAAAATAAAATAAATCACGACGTTTCGGGCGCAACACAAGCGTCCGTCATCAGGTGGGACGCTTGTGTTGCGCCCGAAACGTCGTGATTTATTTTATTTTATATCTACGTGACTTTACCGAAAGAACCAAAGAGTATGCTTTCTACGTGTTTAAAGGTTTGCCCTGTCAAACCTTGGGAGGGGAGAGGTGGGGTGAGAGTGAACTTAGTGGACCCTACTCTTTGTTTTTTTTTTCGGTAAAGTCACGTAGGTAAAATAAAATAAAACAACTAAATTAAATCACGACGTTTCGGAGGCAACACAAGCTTCCGTCTTCAGGTGGAACAGACAGCGAATTTCGCTGTATCCACAGCGAACTTTGCTGAGTCTGTTCCACCTGAAGATGGAAGCTTGTGTTGCCTCCGAAACGTCGTAATTTAATTTAGTTGTTTTATTTTATTTTACCTACGTGACTTTACCGAAAAAAACCAAAGCGTATGAATCCTTGCAGTCACGAAAGCTTCAAATCTAGAATTAGTGGACCCTGTCTGTCTGTAACCTACCCAATGACCACCATGGAACAACTATTCACGAGGTGCCCCCCACCCCCAGATTCCACCTCGTGGCTGAGCCCCCTGGCGTCGTGGGGGGGGGGGGGACCCTCTCACCTGCATCCAGGAGTTCGTCCGTGTCGTTCATTCCCAAGTCGCTGCCGTCCGTCGCCCCCGCGTCATCCATTGCACCCGCTGTGCCTGTGAAGAACTTACGAAAACAACAACAACAACAGACTATAATGTAAAAGCCCTTTGTCAAACTCTTTGGGACCTTTATATGTTTTGTTGCGAGTATCAAGATGATGAAAGAAGACCAACAAAAGTAACAGGCTTTTACTCTTCCCGGCAAGAATACAGGGGCGTTGCGATATTCACTTGATATCTTGTAAGCGGTGCCTATGCGGTGTTTAAACATCTTAACGGTATTCTTTTAGGAGTGGGATAAAGCCTATTCGTTATTTCCCCCTCATCACCCATTGCAAATCCACTGCTGGATGAAGGCCTACCGACGGCATATCGGTTCAGGGGGTTGTTTGGTCATAACTTCACCGCGCTGTACTCAGGTAGCCGGGGGGGTTCATAGCGCAGCTCTGTGAAACTCTGCCCCAGAAACCCATCCTGGTTAACGCTTCGTTATTACGACTAAATGCTAACGACGTTGGCTACTGAGAATGTGTTTAGCATGGGATGTCACACGACGCTGGCAGGTACCTCGCGAGACGAGCGCATCACCGGGAGGTGGCTCATTCCAGGATACGATCCGCAGATTATCGCGAACAGCTATCCTGCTTCGTATCGACGTGCGCTGTGCATATATACGGGTGATCGATGGCGCAGATACAGGTAATCAATTGTTACTCGGCAAAATGAGGCAATCCATGAGTGATGTGAAGAGGGTTAGCATTGAGCTCAGCTTCCAGCTAAGAACGTCGCTGTTTGATAGACACTGTGCCGAGATGATAGGCAAAACCAGTCGTTAAAATCAAACAAGACAAGGTGCCAATAAAAGTATATTTAGTTATTAAAGCATTATAATTGGAATGTGGTCGGAGATAGATCCATAAACCTACACACACACACACTTGGTAGCATGAAGATTCTATCGTATTAGATTCACTCCCACTAACCTCAACGTAGCCCACCACGACCCACACACACACACTTGGTAGCATGAAGATTCTATCGTATTAGATTCACTCCCACTAACCTCCACGTAGCCCACCACGACCCACACACACACACACTTGGTAGCATGAAGTCTATCGTATTAGATTCACTCCCACTAACCTCCACGTAGCCCACCACGATCCACACACACGGCATGGAGAGACCTTCATCAACAGTGGATTGACAAACGGGTTGTACACGTGTATACACAAACCTACACACGTCCCATCATCATCGTCGTCGTCGTCGCTGGTGTATGATCGTTTTTAAATGCTGATATTTTTTTCGGCTGTTGTGTTTCATTCAATACGGAATGTATCGCAAACATTTCAACCACCTGCACGTCTAATGATAAATTATAATTAAAACCGCTGTCGAATTACGCATTCATTAATAACATATTTAATCAGCCCGTGCATGGTGAACTTCTTTCGCACCGTACGTAGCCAACCGTGCGAATTGGCGGTGCGGGCTCTTGGTGGATTATTACATCGCAGGATTGTGATGAGATGGCGATGGTTTGGGTGGAGTGGCCTCCATCCATCCAACAGTGGATTGATCATGGCTGACGACGACGACGTTGATGATGATGATAATGACGTTTATAACGCGCCAGATTTTGCAGTCAACAACTCAGAGGCGTACAGCCACGCTCCGGGCTGCTCGAAAGCCCTTTAGATGTTTCTTAAAAGTCAGAGTGCATCTGATGTTGCGGATTTGCACAGGGATAGAGGAACTTTGATGGACCCGCTGTGTATCTTCTCTGCATGTGTGTAAATATCATTGGACATAATCGCGGCTGCAAAACTCCCTGTAACGTGGCCATAAAAAAGAAAGGAAGACGCTATAAAGGCGTAGGGGGCACAGCAAGCGTGCATTATCATCGCCTCTATAACGTGCGTCCAAACTCTGTATAAAAGAAAACATCCACTACTGTTCCATTAAAACTTAGAATGGAGCTTACCCTTCAATTTTCCTGACACAGTCACAACGGTCAACACATTTGTGCCATTGTTAACGTCTCTCCTTTTAAACGACACACACACACAAAAAAAAGACAACTTTTGTCTCCAAACGAGCGAAAGAAAGCAAATAAATCGTGGAAATTAAAACCCTCGTTAAATTCTGCGCCCGGTTCCCCGTGGCTTTTGTGTAAACTTTCTTCCTCCTTGTTCTCGATGTCTCCCAGGCGACGCGGAGGCCTCGCGGATTCGATGCTCTGAGCTTGAAGGCAAACAAACCTCATCCACGGTGGCAGGGGGAGCTGCGCACAGCGCGTGGCGTGCATTCAGTATTTGAGTAGGTACCCAAAAAAAAAATCTGTCAAAACCTGACCCCTTCCCCTCCCCTCCCTCCCTATACGCACGCGTGCTCTTTTACACACACCACAGAGTCCTATAGAACGGCCGATATTTAATCCAGGCAGAAACGATCACGGATTAATAATATCAAGGCCGTAATTATAATATATATTGGGGGGGAGGGACACATCCCCCCCAATATTCAATTATGCTCAAAATGTCCCCCCCCCAATATATTGCTATAAAATAGATGTATGTTTATGTGATTGTGGTTATGGTTGTACTTTATTAATCCCTCATCTCTGCCATTACATACAATGAAACAAGAAAAGGTAAAAAAAGAAAAAAACAGTGGAATGTAATACAATATACACTATTAGACATTGTTGTAAAAAATAAATAAAAAGTCCATCCTATGTGTAGGTTAATTTTTTTAATATTTTAGGCAGGAAATGGCAAGAAATTCGTTTTCAAATTTAGATTTTTTTTCTGGGGGGGGGGACCCCCAGACCCCCTGGAAGATTTGGTCCCTCCCAATGTTGACTCCATGGCTACGGTCTTGAATAATATTAACGTGTTTAAGCAAACAGATAGTCCACCGCCGGCAGCATTAAATAATTAAGTTGCGCACCTTGGCCACTCATTTTGCTGAGCTGCGTGATAATAGCTCGCAGTCAGTGACATACAAGTGACACCTCTCCCACAGCCCCACTTCTCCCGGTAGTCCTTGTTGTCTCACAGCTGAAGACACTGAACTGTGGCTCATTTGAAGGCCAATGTAGACAAAACATTATCGCGCGATGTCTCGACATCGCTGACACCACTTGAATGTGGATGCAGTACCGGCCCTAGCGGGGCTCGGTGAGCACTGACTGACAGTGACGGATGGCACCACGCGCTCTGCGTGCAGTGCCAGCCCCTACAGGATAGAGGGCGAGAGTGCCAGGCACGGAACGGGGTTGCAAGGGGGCCATGTCACTCTGGTTGACCCCGGAGGACAGCCGGGTCCCTCAGTGGGACCGGCTGCTGTTGTCATCCTAAAGAGTCGACGTTTCACGTTCTACGTCCAAGAATGGTCATCAACACGTGGACCTGGCCCCAAGCTGGGGTCCCGTCCATTGTAGCTACTCCGAGTGTAATCAGTGTAGTTAGCCTGGTGGACCACCACGATAGGTTGTTATCTGGTGAAGGGGCAGTTACCCCTTTGTGTTATCGTGTTGATGTCAATAAACGTGTTTCCTCCAGTTCCAGTGTGCGCCTAAATTAAACCCTAACTACATCTGTATTAATCTTGATTTGAAGCTTTCGTGACTTCAGGAATCCATACTCTTTGGTTCTTTCGGTAAAGTCACGTAGAGTAGAAATAAAATACAATAAATCACGACGTTTCGAACGCAACACAAGCGTCCGTCTTCAGGTGAAAATCGCGATAGCCGCTCGCAGCACGATGCCTGCTGCTCTCGCGATTTTATTTCTACTCTACGTGACTTTACCGCGTGGTGTGGTGCTGTATTGGGCGGTGGTTCTTAACCCCCTGGGGGTAACGAGTTGCCCTTTCTGAGAACCAAAGGCGGGGGGGGGGGGGTTGCAGGCTGCAGTAGAGGTCACGAAGCACTGGTAAAGAGGAACGTGCCGGTGCAATTGGCGATCCAGAGGCCCGCTCCAGATCGGGATGCTCGCACGTTGCACTTGTTGTTTCGCACACCGCACGTGGCCGACCGTGCAAATCGGAGGTGTGGGTGTGCCAGGGCGGGCAACGAACTAAACACAACAAGCAACTTGTAAAGAAGTGAGTTTTTTTTTGTTTAAAGTGTTAAAGAAAACTCCGGCCCACGGTTTGTGCATCGCTCGGTTGTTGTTGTTGTTGTTGTTTTTTTATCGAGGGAGAATTTTAAAAAAATATATATACTGTCATTGGTGCAACTGGATAATTCACAGCGTCAACAAGCCGATCGCTCAGCACACATGGGGGTGGGTGGGTGGCTTGTTTAAGGAGTGTAAGGGCTGTCCCGGGGTTTGTGGCGGTTAAAAAGGTGGGAACAGCTTGCCCACATCACCTTTTAACCAACAGGACTACGTCCTGACCCCGTCCTTCAAACCTTAACCATCTTTCCCTTTCCTCACATCACCCCTCCATTTCCCTATCACCAACCCTTCCTTGCCATTCCTTCCCCTCCCCGACACTCAAATCCCATTCCTTTCCCCCATCAGCCAATAACTATTGTAGCATTTTATTTATTGTAAAGCGCTTTTAACAAACGCTGATAAGGCAAGACGTGTTTGCTGGCTTATGCCTCCATCACACCGTCAAAGAAATGCACCTGGTGTGTGATGAAGCCCATTCCGGAAGATATTTTGGGTTTTAACGCAACACTTTCTCCGGTTCAGAAAACAGCGGCATGAATTTCCTTCGGTATGGAAAAATAAAGCATTGCGAAATATTACAGTGCTGCACTCTCACGCGACACGTGGTGACATGTGTCTCAATGACAGGCCGTTGGTCCGTAAAGGAATGCAATCCGTTCGTCATAACAATTCAACAATGTGCAACACTTTTGTCATTACACCGCTTGATGAAAAGCCACCCCACGCTGTATCTGTCATCATGGCGGTTGTTTGACCATACTTCACCACGATGGCAAAGGGGGTTGCATCCCTGTCAAACCCGTATCAGTGCCGACCTTATTACAGACCAATTCAGACCTTATTGGTCACCCCGTGCCCCTTATAAATCTCAACGTTCATCCTACAAAGTCCCATCACAAGGGAGACACACACACAAATATTGACTTAAAGCTTTCGTGACTGCAGGAATTCATATTCTTTGGGTCTTTCGGTAAAGTCACGTAGATAGGTTCAAAGAAAATAACAAACAAAAAATAAAAACTACGTTTCGATCGCAACACAAGCGGTCGTCTTCAGAAGAAAAAAAATCGACGATTTTTTTTTGCCCGTATTGAAACGACTGTACGCCGCATGGACCTGAAAACTCAATTTCCTTGAACAAGAATGCGGGTAAACCGTGATGGGTTGACAGCTTTGGGGTTGAGCGGACAGCCAGAACCGAATGAGATATGACTCGCCGCTGATGTTACGCCACGGTCGGTAATCCAACTCGGGTTGGGCCGGGTTTGTAGTTCAGAGCACGAACCACTGCACCACCCTTCCATCCTGGGTTGAGTAGCATCGCAATTCCGATGAGCACGGTTGGCTACGTACCGTGCGGAAGAAGTCCAACATACATGCAGACAACACAGTGCGTACAGGTGAACGTAGTTTTCTGAGAAAGTGGTCATTACGAGTTACGGGAAGCGGTAGTGTAGCGGTTACCGCGCGTTGCACTATGAACCTGGCGACCCGAGTTCTAATCCCGCTCACGGTCGAAACCAGTGACGTTTATTCTCAACAGGTACTGGGCCCTCCCCTAGGTAGACTCAGCCTCGAATGTTTATCTGCCGCGGTGTGCAAACATCGACACTGGGGAGACAAAGGCGGCTTGGCGTGGTGCTGGCCACTAACCCGCTTCGTGTGCCGTGCCGGCCTTCATAGGTGGCTCGCTAACAGCACTTGCCCCAACAGTCTGTTAAGGCTGTGCGGGGGATATTTACCTTTTATTAAGGGTGTTTCATGACGTTTACGTTGGCAATAGAGCTCGGTTTTATGTCGTGGAATCTGGGAACTTAGTGGCAGCGTGGACCACTACTCGGGCGGTATATTATGACCCTTTTAACTGGACGAGTGTGCGCGCGTGTGTTTTAACAGCTGAATATCTCAATAAGATACAAACTGCGGTCAACACAGCTAAGCTCTGCGTACATTTGTAAATGTCACAAAGGTTCAAATGTAAAACGAGCTGAAGCTGCTGCTGCTGCTACTGCATTGGCAGCGGTGAACTCAACATCATCTGTCGCTGACGCCGTGGCCTTAACAGGAAAACATAACAGGTAACGTTATAGGGGCAATGGCCTTTCTCTCGGGGTTAGGATTGGCACTATGAAGAAGGCCCATTGCCCGGAACGTCACCAATTGCGTGCCTTCCTTTTTAAGGCCGTGGGTGTTATTGATGAACACAGCGAGTGTTGTTTATGCGCATATTTAATAAGCGAATTAGAACATACAAGCAATGTCGGCTGGTGTTCAAAGTCCAAATGGAGTTGGCAAGTGTACAACAACCGTGCATTGGTTTTGTGCTCTTGAAGATCATCAGTAGGCCATGGTACATTGTCGCTGCCATGACTGCGCTACTGATACAAGGCGTGTGTGTGTGTAATACATTTGACCAGAGGAGACGGGTGCCCAACGCAGGACTATTCTCCACACACGATCAATAATCGACAGGTCTTTTATCAACTCCACTGTTCAATAACTCGAAATCCCTCCGCACCTCCGATTAGCACGGTTGGCTACGTACGGCGCGAAAGAAGTGCAACGTACGTACATTCTCCCCCTACTTTCGCTCATAGGAATTGCCCCACGATACTTCACCACGCCGGTTCGGATATATTCCTGGGCAGTGCGCTCACCACTGCGCCACCGCTCCACCACGGCACACACATATTTAACAAAGACTACATTTGCTTTAAAATATATATCTCTCCCGTGCTGTAAGACTCCTGTAGACTGTGTAACTTCACAGCGAACAAATTCATAGCTGTCAACCCCTTATTATCAGTGCCTTCCCTTATTACAGACCAATTCAGACCTTTATTGGTCACCCCGTGCCCTTATAAATCTCAACGTTCATCCTATAAAGTCCCATCACAAGGGAGAAACACAGACAACAAAAACGTTACCCGCATTTAAACGGCTGTACGCCGCATTGGACCTGAAAACTCAATTTCCCTGTAAAAGAATACGGGGTAAACCGTATGGGTTGACAGGTATACAACTTGCACGAGAATAAATACATCTGTAGCGGGGAAGCTATAGTCTGTAAACACATCACGACTCGAACAAAACACCGTCCCCGTAGTGGTCGCACGAAATGAAACTTCCTACTTTAAAGAGTTCACTCTCGGTCCGGGGTGTTTCTTATTCCCATCGATCGTGGTCGCAGTGCATTAGGCACGGCCTGATTATAAAACGGGTGAGATGCATCGGCGTTTTAAGTTTCACAGAAGCGAGCGAGTTGCCTGGCCCGCCGAAGAGAGAGAGACAGAGAAAGAGGAGAGAGAGAGAGACACGATTTGAGAAGCGACTCAACGGAGTTTGGTGGTGGTTCGTGAAAACTCACCGCGCAACTCAGAGCCGAGTCAACAGAGGCTGACGGGAGAGTGCCACTGGCGTCCAGATCCGCCTAATCGATGATTTTAAAACAATGTCACACGGAAAAAAAAACCACACACACACACAGCCACGAGACTGCTAAAACTCAGTGCGGCCTCGTCCGAGTCCACCAGTTGCTCGTCGCTGTCATCGGGGACCGCTTTTTCTTTGCTCTCTATGGGATGGTTGGGTGGGTGGGTGGCGTTGTGCGCAAAGTTCGCGAGACGCGACAACCTCAGAAGAGAAAAAAACGCCGCTTGCCACAGTTGCCCCTGGTTACTCATTCTTCCGGGCCAAACGAGAACGCACACACACACATACACCCCGCCTCTCTCCTCCCTGCACATCACCATCATCACCATCATCACCACCATCATCATCATCTCCTCTTTCCACCATGATCGTCATCACCATCATCATCACCGTCTCTTTCCACCGTGATTGTCATCACCATCGCCGTCTCTTTCCACCACCAGTGCTATCATCACCATCAACTCCTTTTTCCACCATCACACTTCCAGCACTTTATCACCGCCATCGCATCACGTCTTCTCTCCGCTATCACCACGAGCATGATCATCACCTCCTCTGTCAACCATCACCACCGCCGCCGCCATCAATCACCTCCTCCTCTTATTGCCACCGCCACCACCCCCGCCTCCAAGTCACAGTCCTCCAGGCGTGTGACCTCCCCCCCCACCCGAGCACGAGACGTGTGCAAGACGCAGAGCGAATGCAGAGGGGGCGAGAGGGAATGAGAGGGGGGCGAGGAGTTGGTTGCGTGGGGGAATCGGAGAAGCGTCGTTCGAACTTGTTGGGGATGGGGAGGGGGGCACTGGGACCCCTGTCTGGCGCTAAATCTTCGCGCCGACACGGCTCATTTGCCGCTAAAAGGCCGCGCCTCCTCCTCCTCCTTCTCCCCCCCTCCCCCCAGTGACGAATGCCGCTGTGTCCACAGCCGCCTCCAGCAGCAACAACAACGGGCGGCCGACGCCGTAGCCACCGTAGCAGCAGCGGCTACGGTGTGCGACAAACCGCGACGTGCCCGCTCCTGCCGTGCCGCCGGGCTGATTCAAACCCCGGGCGGGCGGGCGGGTTCAAAGTTTGCTTGCCTTGAACCAATGCTGCTGAGAACGAGAGAGAATTCCAGAATCTTGATTTGAAGCTTTCGTGACCGCAGGAATCCATATTCTTTGGTTATTTCGGTAAAGTCACGTAGGTAGAAAAATAAAATAATATAATTTTTAAATATCATTTGTATTTTATACCTACGTGACTTAGTATATTTTTTCAAGTAGTGGTATCCCAAACTTTCGCAGCTGCTTAAATTCCCTTTTCACACCATCAATATGTAAACTCCCCCCCCCTCGCCGGTCTGCACGTGTTCACCCCCTCTACACCGTTCATCATGCTAAGTCCGCCAATTAAATGCTACTTTTTATGCTAATTCCTTTGTCAAGGCACCTTAATCCCTCTCACACAAGCTTAAAGGTCGCGGTCTGAGCTTGGCTGAGTTCACTCCAGCGCTGTCCTCGAGACAGTCTGGTCCCTTCACCTGATGAAGGCCACTTGTGTTGTGGCCGAAACGTCGTGAATTTTTTTTAATACTTTTATGTGACTTTACCGAATAGAACCAAAGAGTATGGATCCTTGCAGTCACGAAAGCTTCAAATCTAGAATTTACCGAAATAACCAAAGAGTATCGAATTCCAGAAACTTTGAGGCAGTTGAGCCGATGGGATGTGATGTGCAAAACGAAATAACGTGTCGCTTATGTTCCACAAAATGACGGTACTGATGAATAATTTTGTTTCATTTGTGAAATTGCTTCGCGCAGAACCGGAGCAGCCACTCTTGCCCATCCACAACTGGCAGATCACCGACGTTAATTAAAGCAAGTCTTGACTCTCCTGATGAGAGTTAATGATTTATTCATGCATGTGTGTGGATCATTAACATGCGAGCAGTTTGAAACATACTCACGTCTAGCCAGAGACTACATTTCAGCCCGGTCTGTGCCAGTGGTCGATCCGGGAAATATTCCGCACCCGGCACACCACTTCCAGTAGGCGCATTAGTAGCCATAACCAATCGCCATAGCTTGTTGGCTACGAATGCGCCTCTGCTAGGGATGGCACATCGACAAATCGGTAACATTCTAAGATGTGTTTCCGATGCGTCGATATTTTGACATCGATGATGATCCCTCCGATAATATCTGGAACAACGATGTTTTGGTTTCAAGTTGTGTTGTTCACGACAGACGTAAAGGTGAAAAAAAACAGTTTTGAAACTATTTGATGGGACGTGACAAACTAGTCACTCTCCAAAAATCGATGACACGTGTAAATCCTGCAGATAGGTTTAAAAGTCAAACTCTGCAAAGTATACGTACAGTTGCTGTTGGTCGAGTGTTCGTCTTGCAACAAGAGCAGCATTGTGGCTTTTGATTAACACATTTTTTGCTTATTATTTTCCTTAATAATAATAAAACACATGCTTCTGAATAATTACCAAGCTCTTTCCTGTAATTAGTTTAAGAGAAAAAAAATCATCAAACGCATCAAACATCGAAGCACATCGATGTATTGATGTGTTTTAGCTCAAATATATCCCATCCATAAGCCCTCTTCAATTTATGAGCGCGCTGTCTCCGGCACATATTGACAAAGCTACCCCCGTATAGCCTTCAACAGGCTGATGGGGCAAGTGCTGTTGGCGAGCACCAATGAAAACCGGCAAGCCAGCAACCACGCCCGGCTAACCTTTGTTCACACATCGCACCAGGTACGCATGCAAGGCCGAGTTTACCGATGTGCGTCCGAGGACCTCTTCATTTGTTTCGTCACCGATAGTTTGCCTTGAGCGGGAATCGAACTCGGTTCGCCGGCTCCAAAGCGCAGTGCGCTCACCCAGTGCCGGATTCAGCGAGTGCGGGGCCTGTAGCATTATGTTAGGGGCCGTCCATAAATGACTGGCGTCACGCGATTTTGAACGATTTTTTACCCCCCCCCCTCGAATATGACGTCACAAAGCTTTACCCCCCCCCCCCCCCAAATATAAAACATGCTTCAAATCGCTTTAAACTATTGTCATTGTAGTGCGTATTTAATGTGGCGCTGCACTCTGATGTTGTAGGAGAAAACATTTATCAAAAAGTCGATTTAATTCAGTAGAACGTGTTGTCTATATTTATTTAAAGTTGCGCATTTTGATGTGACGTCACATTTCTCAAACCCCCCCCCCATCACACATCGTCACAAATGTCTGACCCCCCCCCCCTAGGTGCGTGACGTCATTCATGGACGGCCCCTTATAAAGGGGCTCTGAATGAAATAAACTGAAATATTAAAACTCAAATGTTTAACTTGCATAGTAAAGTAATTGTATATTTTTTTATTTGCTATACAGCCAGATAATACGACAAATCGCTAACCTTAAACACCCAGCCGTTCGTAAAAGTCGAAGGCCAGTATTTACTACTATCAGCCAAGAATGTCTGTGTCCCGGGCGTGACGTCACTCCACGTCGACCGGCCCTCCTCATTAATAATCATGAACAGGTGGGCTCCTCCACATGGACCCCCCCCCCGTCATTAATAATCATGAACGGGTGACGTCACTCCACATGAAGGTGGTGGAGCGGAAACGAAAATTTGTTTACGCAAATTATCTTTAATTTTTACCTTTCTTTATGGAAAGTAAAACTAATAAAGACATCGACGCAGCAACGAATATCACGAGCCAAAAACAGGCCGTGTGTGTGTGTGTCCCGCGTGTGACGTCACTCCACATGCACCCCCTCATTATTATTCACGTGTGCCTGGATTGTTAGACTAACGCAGAAGGTCGTAGGGAGCGGCAATGAAAATGTATTTACGCAAATTCCCTTCCGATTGTACGTCTCTTTGTAGAAAGTGAAGGCAAAACATAATTATACGTCGCATCGCAGTGCATTTTGTCGCATTATTTATTTCTTCGGCACGTCAAACAAAAGGTAAAATCTTACTCTGTGGCTCTTTCGGTAAAGTTACGTGGAAAGAAAATAAAATCATAATTTAAATAAAATAATTATTTTCCTTCTACGTGACTTTACCGAGAGAACCAAAGGTAAATAATAGGTGTACACGAGAAGCGTTTTCCCCTTTTTTTCTGGCAACAAAACAGCGGTGTTAAGATGTTAAATCATGTCACTGCATTCTAACCACAATGCTTGTGGTTAGAATGGAAACAAAAAACATACTCTGACAATAAATGGCATTGTCTTTGAAACCGATTGCTCCACACTCTTTGGTTCTTTCGGTAAAGTCACGTAGAAAAAGAAAATAAATATTTATAATTATAAAAAAATATATAGAAAGATAAAAATTATTTATAATTATTATTTTATTTCTAACGTGACTTTACCGAAAGAACCAAAGAGTAATTAATTCCTGCAGTCACGAAAGCTTCAAAGCAAGGTGAGTTTACTTTAACGCTTCAGTTCCCAGGACGGCCTATAAAATAATACATTAATAAAATAACACAATAAAATTCTCACGACGTTTCGGCCACAACACAAGTGGCCTTCATCAGGTGAAGGGACGAGACTGTCTGGAGGACAGCGCTGTCCTGAGAATTGTATTGTGTTATTTTACTTTATCAATTTATTATTTCATTCTCATTCCACGTGGTGACTTTACCGAAAGAACCAAAGAAAAAGCGAGTAGTACTACAGTAATAGAGCGAGTGCGGAATCACTGAACAGGAATTTATAGCTTGAAAGCGTTTACTCGCGGGGCCCTTGAAAGTGCGGGGCCCGGACGGAGCGTTTGCTGCCTTTGCTCCGAGGGTGCCCCCCTGCGGCCATGCGCTCACCGCTCCGGCTCACGAGAAGCCGCAAAGGAGGCGCCCTCAAGACTCTAAACGGGCGGGCTTCGAGGCGGGGTTGCGTTAAGTCCCAATGCGGGGAAGAAACCCTCCTTGAGCCAAGCCCACTGGAGCGATGCACTTTTAAACTCTCGATTGAAAACTCGTTTCTTTAGAACTGCTGCTCTTGTTGTTGTTAAGTTTGTAGTCCTTGTGCACCCCCACGCACCTCCGGTTAATTAACGCGGTTGGCAACGTACGTTGCGAAAGAATCTCAACGTACAACACAGATCCCCCGTGTAGGCTTAAGGGACTGTTGGGGCAAGTGCTGTTAATGAGCATCTACGACTGTGGCACACGAGCGGGTGGGTGGCCAGGCTGCAGGCAATCGCAGAATATTCCACTTTAATTACCCTCCAAAGCTACACGATATAGCACGTGCTCCTAAACCAAGCTCTCGCCATGAGGCCCACTTCGGCATATTTATTTTTAATCGCCGATTGTTATTCAACGAAGACGTAAACATTTGTACGTACAATTCCTCGGGTGCGAGAACGGGCGGACAGCACACGGTCACGCCAAGGACAGCACACGGTCAGTCATACATCGGAGGTCACACACAAGAGTTCACGGTTGCTCAACTCAAAAGTTTGGCGTCTGTTTTACTCGTCAAAGGAATACGTCCAACAAGAATTCATCTTTTGCTTCTCTCAACCGGATCTTTTGACACCAAAGACAAAGATCCCCCCCGTATAGCCTCAACAGACTGTTGTGGCAAGTGCTGTTAGCGAGTACCTATTAAGGCCAGCACGTCACGCGAGAAGGGTGGCCAACACCACGCCCGGCCGCCTTTGTCTCCCTAGTGGCGATGTTTACACATCGCACCAGGTACTCATTTGAGGCCGAGTCGACCTAGGGGAGGCCCCAGAACCGGTTCAGATAATCGTCACTGGGTGTTGGCCGTGAACGGACATCAAACCCGGGTCGCCAGGTTCGTCAAGCATCGCGCTAACCGCTGCACCACCGCTCCCCACACACACACACCGTGGTTCGACGCATATCTTCGGGCAAAAATGTAACAGAATCCCGGGGCCAATGTTATCGCACAATACAGTGAACATCAAGTATGGCTCTATAATAAGAGCGCTCGAGTACATGTCGTAACGTCAAATTCTCTCCACGCTTTAAATCACCGGATGAGTTCGGTAGCTTTTGGAATCTTCAAAACGAAACATTAAATGGGCCGGGTGGGAACGCTCCCAACGCTGTCGGGCAAAGGTGCGAAAACTATTCTTTACTTACGGCTTGAACTGGGCTTACGAACATCACTGGGGGTCCACGAATTAACACGCGCGCAATCCTTAAATCAATCACTTTTGTCGCTGGCAGAGAGGCCCTTGCAGTAAACGGTAGTGACCGATCGGGCCCATAAATTAGGACCACATTATTGTTGGCAAGGTCGGAAATATTCCCGTCCACTTCCCGCGGCTCAGACGCTTGCTGGAACGGATATCGTGTGTGCAGGGCGTCTCATTAGTGCCAGATTAAGCTAGTGCGGGGCCTGTAGCACATGTTATAAAGGGGCCCTAAACAGAAAAAAAAACACACAAATATTAAAACACAAAATGTTTAATTTGCATAGTAAAGTAATTGTATTTTTTTTAATTTGCTATACAGCCGGATACGACAAATCGCTAACCTTAAACACCCAGTCGCTCATAAAAGTTGAAGGCAGTATAGTACTATAGTGATAGAGCAAGTGCAGAATCAATGAACCGGAATTGACAGCTTGAAAGCATTTCGCGAGGGCCCTTGAGAGTGCGGGGCCCGTAGCTACTACTACATATGTAGCTACTTTTGCTACTCGGGTCATCCGGCACTGCGTCTTTAAGAGTGGTTGGGGCCCCGCATAGCGGCGGGCCGTCTTCGTCTTCAGCCATCCTCGATCCTCGGGGTTGGCCGCACCACGGGGGCAATCTTTCGCCACCGATTTCCGTCGTCTGCTATCCTCATCGTCTGTTCTAGCGTGAGGCTGCCTCGTCCGTGCTTCGATGTTATCCATCCGTGTCATGCTCGGTCTTCCTCGCGTGGGCCACATGAAATGGCGATCCGCTGGCCACGAGGTTTCCCAACGCCTGCTGCGGAGTGCGGCTCAACAAATCACGACGCAACACGCGGGAGAGGAGTCTCTTGCGGCGTTGTTTCCTTGCGAATTTATTTCACGAGCGCCTTTTGTTCGCCTCTCCCGAGACCCTCCGCGTGTCCAACGAAATCTTAATCCAAAAATAATAATTATAATAATCGGCACACGATTCCATTCCACCCACCTGTCTTGCTCCGGCGCGCACGCGCACTGTTGTTATTGTGTCCCGCGTCCGATCAACCCAAACCTTATTTCCCACCCAAGCAACAACAACAAAAATCACACCCGCGTGCGCGCCGAATAATCGCCGTGATAGCCACAATCGCCAACACCCGCGCACATCACTATTGCATTGTACCCCACGGTTCATCCGAATCACGGGAAGTTTCGTTAAATTTGTAAAATTTCTATCGACGCGAAGACGACAATTACGTCCTGGCTGCCTTATTGTCACAGTGAGCTGTTGCCTAAGTCAATCGCCGCCATTGTCTTGGAATTTCTTGCGTGGACGTTTTGCTCCTCTTGTTCCGAGATGTATTATAATAGTTACACTGAGGGGTGACTATGGTAATGGAGAGGCCAACGATGAGCCTACGTCGCTATGATACACATAGTAATTACCAAGGAGTGAGGTTATGAGCAAGAACCGGTAAACTATATTAAATGGTACATTGCATAGGGGGTGGGGGGGGATGATGCGTGTCAAGCAGCCAGGAACAGAAAACGAGAAAACCTCTTCCCTCTCGGTGACAGTATAAAATATTGTTATAATTTTTAATCAACCTATTTATTCACGCACAAGTTCACTGAAGCAGCAACGGCAACTTGATTAATCTATTCCCTTGGATACACGCCATGAACAAATACCACGTGCTCTGCTTCAACATTATTCATTTGCATACAGCCGGTTCCCCTAAATATCGGAAAAGCCCTTCACGTCGTATTGACCCAACCCTTTGCACAGGTATTAGTGTATAGTGCACAGCACTCGAAGACTAACTGACACACCATCTCTCGCGCGCAGAAAAGTCAATGCACACACCGCAGTATCTTGTATAGCACAGTGCTTACAGGTTAATTTTTGGCAGGTGTTGACCAAGGGAGGGCATTTTAAAGAATGTATTTAACTCCCGAAGAATGTCCTCCGGAGTCTCATTCTGAAACGGCGATCTCTTTGGAGCTAACAGGATAAGATCGTACAACTCTTGAGAATAACAATCGGTCTGGAAAGTCAAGTGGATGACGGACCAAAACAATATTTTCAATTTTGTATCAGAGACACGGAATGGAGTTCACTTACAATTGGATTTCTTATTTCAACCAATGTGTCACCACGCCTACTGGGGTTCGAATAGAAACTTGCGTCGTTTTTTTTTTGAAACGCTGATCAAACACACGCAGCGAGACGAAAAAAGGCGGAACATCAAGTCGTGTTGAAGATTTAAAGGTCACAGAACGGTACGAAATTTTGGGCGGATCAGTCGCCGCACGCTTATCGTCATTAACATCTTCTACAGCGCCACGACTCATCGTTGTTTAAGCAACCGTTGTCATTCACAACGCTCTCCGTGGATATTTAAGATTGATTTTTTTTTACGTCTCACTTCACAGCCATTTCTCCTATGCATTTGTCCTGCGGTTGTGCAATTTTAGTTAAAAAAAACACATTTAAAAAGAAATAAAACAAGCAAACATCGGAGTACGCACATTTCGCCAAACTCCCAAAACGCAGAGGCAAGTGCAGCGAGCCGCTGCCGAGCAAGAGCCACACCCGAAGGAGTCGCATCAACGGGATTAAAATTTGTGGCCAAGGTTTAGGGCGTAACAAGCGGCGCTTGTTTGTAAAGGTACACAATAAGGCATAATAATCATATATTCTGTTGCACACAAGGGCCTACGCCGCCTGCACGTCCACTAACAAGAGGGGAACGTTGTTAACCTTCAAATGACGAAGACTCGTCACCAACGAAAAATGTGAAGTCTCGTGATGGGGCGGCAGAGCGTGCCCACCGAGTGATGTACGCACTATTGACGCTAATCATTACACAACAAAACCAAATTGTAAACGGCCACTGCGGTTGCACTTTTTTTACGTTGTCACAAGTCACGCAATTTCACGTTATCCCGTTGATAAAAACGTGGTCGTGTAATACCTAAAGTTTTCTATTAAGGCTTGAATCGTGCGCAAGTCCTCCCTACACACAGCATAACTATTAGCTTGTTCTGTGTATTAGAAAATAATTAGAAACATATATGCAAGTCATAGTTTCTATGGGTTATTGGAAATAACTTATATCCCTAGACTACTGGACACCGAAATGGTTCATCATTAACGTTCCTTTATCGAACACGGTGAATATGCATATGGGTGGCATGTGGCACAAGATATCCTTTCTTGATTTAGGATAAAATGGCAACATGCTCATAAATGGGAATTTTAAACATCTGGCCACCAGTGGGAAATTGATGTCATTACAACAGCCAAGGCCGATCGTCAAATTGCCCATTTGTGACTAAATGTTTAAACAACCGATTGGATTAAAACCTATGAATTAACTATCACATGACCAATTTACTAGGACTGCGCCTGGTCGTCAGATCCCTGAAGCTATGCGGAGATGAGGTTGGATGGCGATGGATGGGCGACCAATCTGAACGGAGAGGCGCTCAAGGCTACAATAGACTGCAGGGCTACATGGTGGGCATCAAATCCGTTGTTGTACTTCACTCCCCTGTTCCTGCACCTGTGCTCCCGGACCTTCACAAACCCCTCTCTGACTAGCGAGGTATGTTAAAAATAACCCCCAACGACCAGCACGTCGTGAGGACGCCTCGATCCAGCAGTGGAATAACAAAGGGTGCCGCTGTACCACGTGCACTGTGTGAATGAACAAGTACCATAACGAAAGGTGACCTGTAACTGAAATAAGGGTACACAATTGGTTACGCCTGCCAAATGTGAATGCAGGTTAAGATCCCAACATGTGACACCTCCGCTATGTACAACAACAACCCCCATTGGGTCGGGATCATTTATGCCGATACACCCCCACGTTGTGTACAGTCACGGGACCGCTGGTTCCAGCTGCTACTCGCAGCCACCAAAGGAAAGAGGCATTCGCTTCCCCAAATCGAACGAGGCATCACCAGCTCCCGGTTTTGCCAAGTGCACCACACGCACCCAGGCCCCGATTCTCACGTCCGGCGATTCACTCGGGGGAGCTTTTGCAGTTTCACCTTTCAATCGCCGACGAAACAAGTCGCCGGCGTATTGTCCGTGTAAGCGCTGTTCGTGAACAGCGTTTGGCAAAAAAAGCACCCCCCCCCCTTCCCCCAGATTTAAGAGAAAGGGATAGAAAAAGATATGGTAAAAATCGAATGAGAAATAAAAAAATCAAAGCACCTTTTATAGTGAGCAGGTCATGTTGCAGGCACCTGCTGGATTACGATTTACAGCCCCAAGTACACAGTGCAGTGGACGTGATTTTACTCCCAGATTATGTTGACCATCGCTCTCCTCAATATCTTTGCTCCCGTAGACTCTCTTGAGCCACCCTTAAAATGTACAGCTACATTTGGGGTGGTGACTTTATTATTTTTGTACTGGTACAAGGACGGACGTGACGGTGACGGGCCGGGCGAATTGTGGGGAGGTAGCTGCAGCTGCTTGACGGCAGGGAGTGTCAGGATGACAAAGCCTCTGTACACTGGGGCTTCACGGAGCAAAGCGACTCCAATGCCCATCCGCTTGCAAGCTATTGTACACAAGTCAACACCACTCCGGAAGTTTACAATGTCCCCTGCGATTTACACCATTCTCATTCATCCTTTTTCTAAAATAGTAATTAAAAAAAAAATTGTCCCCAGGTACAGAAACACTTCCGTTGCCACGTGTGTGTGTGTATGCGCTAATTCTATTTGTCAACTTACGGATGCATTACGGTTAATGCTAATTAAACATTGAATTACACGGGTATATTACAGGGCAACCACCATTGGTTGCTGCATCTCATCCTCAGTAAAATCATGAGAGAATCCTTGATGCTTCAAAATGACAAGACGTTGCTCTTATGTATCTCGCCCTACGCATTTTGTCTTTCATGATTGTGATAAAACAGTCTATATTTGATTAATTCTATTGTTTTCTTCCGCGCACAAATTACATGGATATTTAAAGGGTATATATATATTTTGTATCATTTGTTATTCTCCAAAGTGGATTTTAGTTTTCCTGAACATCGCCAAAACAGATTTCTTGAAGATGTAGAGCATTTAAATTAAGTATCTTTTGTTGCTGTTAAAGCTTTCAATGCCAACACATTTGATTTTTTTCTTTTTAAATGAATGCGATACACTTTTGCCAACATTACAGAAACAAAAGAAAAGGAATTAAGGAGAAAAAAAAAGCAAACAGAAGATCCGGAGAGGCGTGTTTTAACGCACACTGTGCCAGCACAACAACGCGTGCTTTGTGCGAGTGTAAAATATCGTACGGCCCACATTCCGCCTCTTCGCGCGAACTGGATAACGACCGATGGCGTCTGTCCCTGTTGCAGGGCGTTAAGTGTGCGCACCGTGGACGCTGCCGTGCGTTGCCACTGCCGCCCTCTGCACCCCACAGTCCCGAGGGGGGTGGGGGCGGGGGGGGGGGTGTGGAGAGAGGTCTCAGAAAATGTCCTGGCTAATCTTCCACTCCTGCTTCTCCTTGGTCTCCCAGTAGCCTCCGCGGTAAACGCAGCTGACTTCCCGCGTAAAGGGGTCCTCCTTGCGCTCAAACCACATGGGACGGTAGGACTGGTGCTTGCGGCCTGCGTCCCCGTTGGGCGTAGAAAAAGGAAAGGGGAGGGGTGCGGCAGCAGATGCACAACGCACGCGAGCGATTTCAACGACCGCTGCTCACGGCGCTAGCTATGTTTATCATAATACGGCGGTAACACAGCAGTGAGACGGAGATAACACAGCAGTAAACATAGCAGTAACAGAGATAACACAAAGATAACACAGCGGTAACACAGGGGTAACACAGCGGTAAACATAGCAGTAACACAGCTGTAACGCAGCAGTAAACACAGTGGTAATACAGCAGAAACACAGCAGTACACACAGCGGTAACACAGTGGTAATACAGCAGTACACACAGTGGTAATAGTGGCAACACAGCAGTAACACAGCGGTAACACAGCGGCAACACAGCGGCAACAACACAGCGGTAACACAGCGGCAACAACACAGCGGTAACACAGCAGTAACACAGCGGTAACACAGCAGTAACACAGCGGTAACACAGCAGTAACACAACGGTAACACAGCGGCAACAACACAGCGGTAACACAGCGGTAACACAGCAGTAACACAGCAGTAACACAGTGGTAAACACAGCGGTAACACAGCGGTAACACAGCGGCAACAACACAGCGGTAACACAGCAGTAACACAACGGTAACACAGCGGCAACAACACAGCGGTAACACAGCGGTAACACAGCGGCAACAACACAGCAGTAACACAGCAGTAAACACAGCGTTAACACAGCGGCAACAACACAGCGGCAACACAGCGGCAACAACACAGCGGCAACACAGCGGCAACACAGCGGCAACACAGCGGCAACAACACAGCGGTAACACAGCGGCAACACAGCGCTAACACAGCGGCAACACAGCGCTAACACAGCGGCAACAACACAGCAGTAACACAGCGGCAACACAGCGGCAACAACACAGCGGCAACACAGCGGTAACACAGCGGCAACAACACAGCGGTAAACACAGCGGCAACACGTACCCTCCTCGGCGGCACTGGCGAGCTCGGCCTCGCGCCGGCGCCGCACCAGACGCTGCTTCTCCTCCAGGCGCTGCTTCTCGGCGTTGGCCTCGTCCCACTTGCCGTTCTCCATTAGCCGCTGGTCCGGGCGCAGGCGGCTGTCCGTGGGGGCCACCCCCTCCTCCGTCTCGTTGAGCGTGAGCGCGAGCTCCGTGAAGTAGTACATGTTGTCGGAGTTCTCCCTGCGCAACGCCACCGGCACGGGGCGCGAGACGAAGCGTGTCATCGTCGGTTTGCGACTTTCGATTGCCGACAGCGGCGCCAATCATTAATCCGGTGAAACCCTCGGTTAGCCCGCAAAGCTATCACTTAGAACTTCATTTTTTTTTTATTTTGCCGGGCAAGGCGCGCACTGAGCTACGCAGCTCTTTTTCGGAAGTGCTCAACAGGGGCTTATCGCCGCACGGAAATTTATGGCAGCCAAAACACTCTGAACGCACGTAGATTCTAAATGTGCACGGAAAAAAAACGGAGCAAAAAGATCCACGCTCTCTCGGCACAAGCTCCGCGAATGGGTACGTGTTTTCTGTGTGCTCCCTGCCGAGGGCCATCAGCGACAACGGTGCGATGAAATGTTTGACCGTTGGTTTGCACGTATTGATTGTTAACGCCGATGCCATCTGGGAATGCCCTTCCTAAGCCTCAGGGCTCTTGTTCAGGAGGGTCCCGTGAATTCGGATGGTTGGTCAATTTGATTTGACGGAGTGTTTTATGAACGGGAGGATATGGGGGAGCACCGTAAGAAAACAAAGAGAAAGATCCCCCCCCGCATAGCCTTAACAAGACTGTTGGGTCAAGTGTGTGTGTGTAAAAAATACAGATACACACACGCACGAGGTGATTGGTTTTTTTCAAAGGGTCTACACGGACCGGTTTATAAACCCACTTGCTCCACCGCCACCTCCTGGGCACCTTGCGGCCCCGGCAGGCTTGTCAGTTGCGCAAATCTGATCGATCAGTCAACGCTCGCCTCCCAACAGCTGGATTACAAGCGCGCGCCACCGCTAGCGTGGAAAAGCCAGTTAAACACGAGCCCCGGCCAACGGTGCAAAAGCAGGCGCACTGGCACGTGGACGTACGGCAGTGGGTATCTCTTCCAGAGGTGCTTGGCGGGCTGTGTCTGGTAGACAGTCTTCTGCCGCCCCTCACTGCCACTGCTTCCTTTGCTGCTCTGCACAATTTTGGCGTACTCCATCTTCTCGTCCCACGTCCCCGACAAGATGTAGTGCGCATTTCCCTCCGCGTCCATTACCACGCCGGACACCTGCACGGTCACAGGAGAGAGAGAGGGGGGGGAAGGGAAGGGGAGGGAACGGTACGAGGCAGTGTGGAGGCGACGTGTGGGGCAGCTGGGGCGTAGAATTATCCTTCTCTCTCGACACCCGTCTCGGGTAACCCGCTCCCATTGGGCTCACGCTCGGCGCGGGGGGGGGGTGCTGTACTTTGCGCCACGGGCGATGAACACTCTGGCATGTTCCTGCCGAATTATTTAGCGTGCTGACAAGTGACCTATATAAAAAAAAAAACACGCGACACCCTGATGGGACGTGCGCAGCACGGAAACGGGGAGGAAGCCGCCGCGACTCCCTCCCGCTCAGGGTGCAAGGTCCGGCTCGTGCGTCGCAATGCGGCTGGTGCGGTTCGCCGAGTCGACACGATCTTGGGATTCTGCCGAATTCTTTGCTCACCAAAACCGCGCCACTTAAAGCGAGTCGGTGAATTTCAGGGAAGCCTGAAATAATACTTGGCGCCCAGTGTAACCAAATACCACCGCAAGGGGGCGCTGCAGCACAGACTTGGAAATTCCGCTCTGGGCGGGTAACTGCCACCCACTAGCAGACACCAAGAGGGAATTGCACCAAGCAGAAAGAACAGGTCTGCAAGGGTATTTGACTCCCTTACGATATTAGAGGTCGCATTAAGAGACCGGTTGCAAAGAGATATCAGATTTGGATTATCAGTTCTATTATCCGCTGAGACCTTGCTTCAGTTCATTGCTTCCACTTAGGAGTGAAATGTCTCAAAAATTATCAATTACCTTAACGAGCACTCGTGTGAAATGTTGTTTCATCAGGGGAGGAGGGGGGGGGGGTGGTGAAAGGGAGCTTAACCTAACCTTGCGGTCATCTCACCTTGCGGGGAATGTCACGTGAGAAGTAGCTGTAAGCGATGAACTTGAGCTGGCATTTGTCTCCTGTGTGGTGATTAACGATGTCAATATCTCCGGACTGCAAACAGCACATGGCAGACGGTGCACACGTTCCGTCCAGAGGAACAAACCAAATGCGAATCTTCACAAACGTTGATGGCCATGGCTTAGTCAAAAACAAGCAATTGCAGTATATCACCAAGGGCCAACACTTTGCTGATGTCTAGCTGGTTTACTTTTTTCTTTCTCCAGCCTGAAGTCACGAAATTTAATTGAGGATTCGATGCTCAATTTAAACAAATATTAAGCCCTCCGATGTTTTGTCGGGTTATACCGCTCGTCGTCCTGCACAATGTCCGTCGTTTCGCTCCCAGAGTTGTCAGACTCCAGCAAATGAATTCGGTTCTTCAAGAAGTTCCAGAAAATCCACGGGAGATCGATACGGCACAACTGGGAATATCTAAGTGAGGATATGAAGCCGTTATGCTATGGAGACTGACTACTACTCATGTCAATTATCGTAAGTCAATGTATCGTAAAGCAGTGACGAATATTGTCTATCCCAAGGGATTGAGGCCGGTTTGCCAATACCAAGGCAAAACTAAAAAGGGGGAAAATATATAAATATTAAGGGCACATGTGATGATATATTGTGAACGTAAAACTACAAATTTAAGCGCTTTTACAAAAAAATTAAATGTTAAGGTCACCGACCTCAATTGTAAAAAAAAGAGTGTGATTTTCTCATTGGAGGTATTTAATGAGATTCATGAACTGTGCGTCAATAGCAAGGGAGAGTGTGCTTCTGTATCGCTCAGCCTTGTGTTCCTAGTCCGTAACGTAAGAAGAGTGACTTTAAAAAAATATATGTAAATGTTTTGAATTGTTCCACCATATTTCATTCTTTCAGACCACCCCAAGCGAATGTGAGCAGCCCTTGTCAATCGCAAAGGGAAATTCCATCATGTAGTCCGATATGCATTTCTATAAAAAATAAACTACGTAAATAAATGTCCAGTGTTATTATTATTGACCAAGCAATCAACACTGTCCCTTCCTACAACCGAAAGCACACTCTTCAGTGAAGGCAAAAACAAAACCGATCAAACCACTCTCGTTTTCTTTGGTTATTTCGGTAAAGTCACGTAGAATGAGAATAATAAAATAACACAATAAAATTCTCACGACGTTTCGGCCACAACGCAAGCGGCCGTCTTCTACGTGACTTTACCGAAAGAACCAAAGAAGATGAATCCTTGCAGTCACGAAAGCTTTACATCGAAATTTAACCACTCTCGTTTGTCAACACTTTTAGCCAAGCGAGTGTGGCAAGACTCGTGGGACAGCCAAAGGGTCACCTGGTCGATCCAGAGCCGTCCCACAATGATGTTGTGAACGGTGGTCGTGACCTTCTTCCACGTGTAGTGGTTCCCCGATGAGGGGAACTCGCAGTGGATGGTTCCTAAGTCACGTGCAGTGGGAGCAATCAAAAGAACGCACGAGTGAACACAGCAGCGGCGCCCTTCTCTTTAACGTTTGCACGAACGTGCGTGACCGTTTCAAATCGGGTTTCATCGGCGCTTTTTACTTTTCAACCACAAAACTTAAACTCAGTGCACTCATCGATAACATTGCCCTAAAAATATAACAAATATAGATATAACGGGCGACACTTTGGCCAATGGCCATTCTTAACAACAGAGAAATGGTCTCTTCTCGTAGATATAAGACTGATCTGCTATGAGAGACGACCTATCCACTGTGAATCAGGGTCATGAGGCCAAAAACAGTCCCAGGTGTTCACCAACAAACGCTTCATGCTTCTCAGTTTTTTTGGCACACACTTAAAAAATTAATTGATACTGTTTCGGAGCTCTAAGGCAGAATGTGACAATTCATAAGTGTTATTCAGTAAGCATTTGCCATATGCAATGAAGATATTTGCAGGCATTCACAATTTGTTACAACAATCAATGCCATGAAACCAAAAGTATTATTTAACCCACGATCAGTGCACGTTTGCACTCATAATTTGGTTTTAGGGTTGCGGTTAACCAAAATTAGGCTTAAGGTCATACAGGAAAAATCTTAACAGATCACTGCATGAACTAACCCAAATAAGTGCATCTTAACTTCAGTAAATGCATGGCAACTGTTGGTCCTGCGAAGGTACTCTTAAGATGTTTAACTATGCCAGTCCTACAGGAGGCTCCCGCTGCTTTTTGTCCCCCTTATCGCTTATTTTCCTCCTCGCTATATAATAATAATAATAATAATCGACGCTCCCGCTCGCAATCCCCACGTGTGTGGGGGCAGTGAGCCCCGGTCTGTGGACCCAGGAGTACTGAGGCCGGGCCTCGGGTCCGCAGAGTTTTTGTATTACCCCCACCCCCTTGTTGCGGGTCTGTGCCCTGTACTGGGCTCTTGTTATGCTGAAGAAAAAAAGAAGCCATTTCAGTCCTACAGCGATGCACGGGAACGCAATACGACGGCGACGTACCGAGCGGGATGATGGACAGGTATTTTCCACGAAATTTACTGGAGACCGTGATCTCTTGCCACAGGCGCCAGCCACGTCGTGAATCCACATGATGTGCCGCGGCTGGTGGGTGATGGCTCACCTACACACAAGCACGTGGTTCATGTAATACATTTTTTTTTAAATGTCTTAACATATCCGTGTCTTAATACGTATACATTTCCGAACTGCACAGCAGTTTAAACAAGAACTCTACTAAATTAGAGTAAACTTAAGACGTGGGTTTTCTCAGCCAATACAATGACCTGCATTTGGGTTAGGCCACGCAAGAGTTCACAGCCATGATTCGATGTACGTACCTCTTGACAAACCACTGCATGGCCTAACCCAAAAACAAATATCGACCAAAACTACAATTCAATGAAACTTGTGTTTTGGCCATGGCTTATAACCTTAAGTAGGTGTGAAATGAAGAATCGATTCCTCTATTAAAATCTATTGTTATTACTCATGATACGGGCATGCGAGAATCGATTATGCATTATACGTGTCAATTACATGCAAGGCACAAGGACATTTCTAATTTAGGCTAACATAGTTAAAGAGTACAAATGTGACAGAAAATGATAAACAACACAGACGGGAGACAGCACAGTGAAAATTATACGAAAAAATAGATTATCTCAAGTCAATTGCAACCTCAAATCATGACAATTCATGGCATTGCTGGGAGAGTTAATCATTGCAATTTTAATCAAAAGGCCTGGCAACCATAATCCAGGCGGCCGGTAGTGACGCAGAGAATGAGTGAGCAGGTGCTCTTACGTTATCTCAAGACTCTGTGGATTTCATTAATTCTAGATTTAAAGCTTTTGTGACTGCTAGGATCCGTACTCTTTGGTTCTATTGGGTAAAGTCACGTAGATTTGTTATTTATTTTTTACCTACGTGACTTTACCCAATAGAATCAAAGAGTATGGATTTCATCAATATACATGGGATTACAAAATTGCATCATTGTGCTGAATGGATCCGGTGAGGAATGACCCCCAAGTGAGGAGCTCGCATCTGGCTCCAATTCCAAACGGGTTACACGGCGGAGCCTAAACAGACTGAGAGTCGGTTTCGGCAGATGCAACTCTCTCACGAAATCACGGGGGGGGGGGGGGGGATTTCTGCACAATCGACCAATGTGCTTGTCAGGAGAAGCAAACCACGTGGATCATCTCCTGAGGTGCTCTGCAGCACCACAATGCACTCCCCTCAAGATTTGGCAATGCCAACATCAGAAGCGGAGGCCTGTGCAGAATATTTGGGGAGAAGACCCATATAGGTTGGATAGGAGACACGACGAAGAAGATCCTTTGCACATCTCTCAGTGGTCAGCTGTGGCCTGGCACAAGGCACCACGGTGACTTCAAACCGTGACGTCTGCCGAGTGGTGGCGGGCACAGCGCGAATACCGATGTGGCGTTTTACTAGAAAACGCACGGCAACGTCGTTTTTTTGTGATAGATGGCCACACGGTTAAAAGACCAAATTTTGGCACAAACAGAATAAAAAACGACAAAGTTGCGCGTGATGAAAGCGCGAATGATAGCAGCAGCTACTGCATGCAGTGAACCAAGGGAATGTCAACAATATCAGAAACTAGACAAGAAGGTATTAAGCTTGACTTGAATTTAAACATTAACGGCCACTCAACGCTGTACACTAGAGTCCAGATAAAAGCATGCCCTTAGGCACAACACAAGGTGTGCTTATATCCAAAGTGTGCTTGTATCAGTATTTGCCTTCCATCACCAGCCACCGGTGCAATGCAGGGATGCGTTGCCTACATCATAACTGAACTGCGCTTATATGAGGCATGCTTAAGTCCAGTATTGACTGCATTTTCATTCCTTGGAGATATTATTTGAACAGCATAATTTCAAAAGCTAAGGGGCCACTTAAAATCTAAATTGCTAGCACCATAAAGCAAGAACCGCTTGTGACACTGGACACTGGCAATACTATGGGTGTGCACGGCTAAGAAGAACTAAAACTCAACTATTTTTTATTTTACCAGGTGAGATCCACTGGAGCTATATAGCTCTTTTTCAGAAGCGACCTGGCCACAAATGATAACTCAACAAAGTGGCTCATCATATGGAAATGTATAGCAGCCAGACATTCTAAATGTGGAGGCAAAGAAAACGGAGGATCCGGGGAAAGTTCCACGCGATCACGGGGAGAAAAACATGCAAATTCCAAATATATAGGCGTTATTGGTCGGGATCGAACCCACAACCTCCTACATACCAGGCGAGGGAGCTAACATCTTGCCACCGTGGCACTGCGGTGGCGAGGTGGCTGGCTCCTGGCCGTGACGACGACAATGACGACGGCAAGGCGGCACACATACCTGCTCGCAGATGGAGCGGTAACCGCACTCCTCCAGGCGGTCCAACTCAAACGTCTCGCCCAGGAGCGGGTTGAAGGGCTTGCCGGTACGGTACACGGTGGTGGAGTACGACGACACGGAGAAGGCCGCAACGTAGCACAGCTGCTCCAGCGAGCTCTCGCACTTGGCCGCCTTGTCCAGGAGGTCGAAGTACTCCAGGTCCTCCGTCAAGCGCTGCAGCATTGACAGCGGCTCGTTGAAGTTCACCTGTGAACGGACGCGATTTTACGTGGGGATTCGTCGATTGCATGTGGTTGAATGTTGCTCACGACGAGGAGCGTAGCCACCTTGACTCCATTGCACAGAAGTTACTCCTCGTGTCTTCAAGTAGACAAGAAAAAGATCCCCCCCGTATAGCCTCAACAGACTTTTGGGGAAAGAACAGTTCGCAAGTAGCGCCTATGAAGGCCGGCGTGACGCATAAGGGGGTGAGTAGCCAGCACCACGCCCGGCCGCCTTCGTCTCCCGAGTGGCGATGTTTACACATCGCAGCAAGTACTCATTTGAGGCCGAGTCGACCGAGGGGAGGCCCAAGATTGCTTCGGAGGCCCAAGATTGCTTTGGATAATCGTCACCTACCACACCTATGTCTATGAGGCAAGTGGAAGAAAGTGTGGGTATTTCCACCTCTTTCAAAACATCGGGGCCAGTGTTAAAGCACAAGTCAAAAACCTCTATAGACAGACTGTGTTCTCGAGAGCTCCCTTCTACCAACAGTAGCCCTGAGCAAGAAATGGCAGGCATGCACCTTCACCCTTTTTATCACCCTAAAAAATACACGTCTGCACACAGAAGCTCGCACACGAACGCACGCGTGTACCCATAACGCTTTCAGGACGGGTGCGCACTGCGACATTGAAGCCCGCTTCCGTCCACTGCTTTAGGTACCGGCATGGGGATCTTGGAGAGGTCCTTGCCGATGCAGTTTTTCATGATGCTCCAGAGGTTGAGGCTGTAGTTAGGCTTGTCAGGGATGCGGGCCCGCCGCTGTTTTTTGACGACCATCTCTTGACCCAGTGAGCTCGAGCTACTGGCATGCTTCTACAGCGCGGAGCACAAGCGTCACCCAAACACAAAGATTTCCCCGTATAGCCTTTAACAGACTGTCAAGCGAGTATTTATGAAGGCCGGCACGGCACACGAGGGGGTGGGTGGCCAACACCACGCCCGGCCGCTTTTGTCTCCCCAGTGGTGATGTTTACACACGAAACTAGGTACTCATTTGAGGCCGAGTCGACCTAGGAGAGACCCAGGACCCGTTCAGATAATCATCGTTACTGGCATTGGCTGTGAGCGGGAATCGAACTCGGGTCTCTGGGTTGATAGCGCAGCACGCTAACTGCTACGCGACTGCTCCCCACACAAACACACATACACGCAACGCGCCTGCATTATGGGGCGCCATGCCTGCCTAGGAATCAGAATCGTTATTTATCCTGGAAAAATCCGATGTGCTATAAAGCTCTTTTTTTTTTTTACAAATGTCCAGTAGGGGTGGGTCACAACGTGTCACTTGCAATTTATAACTCTTTTCGCGAAAAGTGACAATGAAACTTAATGGGAATTTGGAAATACTGTGTAGGACAGATCCTCACTACTGCTATCATCACACGTACGACATGCAACACATGTCGCAGAGCATCTAACTATTGGAATAAAGTTGAAAGTCAAGGTTTGGTTTCCATCGTGCAGAGAGAAAAATTTAAGCCGGTCAAGTTTCCTAAAATACTGCCATGTAACGAGTACAGTTAAATATGATCCACAAGTACATTTATTTTCATTGGGGACCGAATGAGCATGTATTTCTCGCTATAATTAGGATTTAGGTCCGTCTTGTTAGGAAAGCTGTGATTGTCATTATCGGCTACCAAACAAGTGTTAATTGCAAGCAAACAGCTGATAATGACGTGCTAGTTTTTTTGGGAACACTTAACCGGGGCGGAAAACCCCCAAAAAAAACACGCATCAACGTTATCTAACGTTCAACCGGCGAAACCAGAACTCAACAGCAACGGAGAGAATCTACCACAATTATAACGACTTTATTTAAAAAAAAAATACACGTGGCCCTAGGTTCATACAATAGATATATTGATCATTTATCAAAGTCAATCAAAGAAGCTGACTGACATTCATTCTGGAGCGCAGCGTCATGCGCTCGTACTCACCAAGTCCTCCGAGTTCCAGTCCTCCAGGTGACCGCTGGCACTCGCTCCGCTGACGTTGCTACCCGAGCGTCTGCGCCAAACAACACAAAACACAACACAAATGCTGCACGGAACCTCACTGGATTACATTCTTTCCACCCCCCACTCGCACTACCCGGAGTTTGGGTGAAGTGCACCTCGGTAAAAAACGGGTGAACGTGCAGCAGAGAGAGCATGTGTGTGTGTGTGTGTCTGTATGTGGGTGGGTGGGGGGAGTGTGTATATGCAATGCACGTAAAATAGCACAGGCGGTTAATCCACAACACCTGGGTCTGTTCCGTGAACACGCACACCACCGAGCCTTCAAAGACTTCACGTGGTCTCAAAATGTACCTAGCCTGGCAGCACATTGGCTGCGGTGACGTCACAGTCACTTAAGTGGCGAGGAGGTGGCTGTGGTTGGTCACACTGTGCTATGTACCTGCAGCGACCCGATTCCCAGCCACGGGTAACATCAGTGGGTGAATTATATCAGAACTGGTTCCAGGACCTAGGTTGACTCAGTTTTGTTATACGAGTACTTGGTCTGGTGTGCTGTCCACACCACCCCATCGCGAGCAATTCCAGCCATAATAGGTAACCTCTCTCGTAGAACCTGCCTCAATAGCTCGTCAAAAAACTGCGCGCAGGGTGGCAATTTTGTTTGCATCACTATTATCAAAACACAGGACCAAAGACCAAAAAACGCCATGCAGTCAACAACAAACATCACTATTAACTGTAAAATAAATACGAACTCGTAATTTTCTATTGAGCAAAGTTACTTTAAAACTTGGGTGTAGACGATACGAGGGAAATGCGCTCGTGTGTGTACGCATGTATGTATAACTTATTTTTCAGTTTAATTTATCGCACCATACGTAGCCAACTGTGCAAAGCGGAGGTGCGTGTATATTCCGAGTGTGAATCTGCACTCAGGTGTGTGTTGTGCGCAGACCGAGTGGGTGAACACCTGTGAAAAAGAGCTGTATCGCTCAACAGATTCCTCAAGTGTAAATAAATATTCTGGAAAAAGAAAAAGTACATTCTGAGTGCAAGCGCCGGGCTCACTTGTGTTTGGACTCGGCTGGTACAGTGATGAACTCCGGCGCGTCTTCCATCGCGTCGAAAAACTCGAATTCATCATCTTCGTCGCTCGCGTCCGCCTTGCCGCCCCCTCGCCCACCCACTGATGGGAAACACGAGTGCGGTGGGTGAAAAACAAAGAAAGAGTTCCCCCCCCGCCCCCGCCCCCGGATAACCTCACCAGACTGTTGGTGCAAGTAGTGCTGCTAAGCGAGCACCTATGAAGGCCGGCGCGGCACACATGGGGGCGGGTGACCAACGCCACGCCCGATCGCCTTCGTCTCCCGAGTGGCGATGTTTTTACACACCGCACCAGGTACTCATAGGAGAGGCCCAGGACGGATTCGCATAATCGTCACCGGTGTTAGCTGTGAGCGGGGAATCAAAATCGGGTCACCGGGTTCGCTACACTACCGCTGCGCGGCGGCTTGCACACACAGGCACACACGCGTAGCACGCACAGAGCCGCAACGACACGCGAGCGCATGGACGTGAGCACAAAAACCACCGACAAGGGGAACCGCCAGCTTGCATTCTGCACTGGCTGCTGAAGATCCTCTCATTCTGTAGCCTTCACTGTCAACAGGCTATAATAAACTTCTCAGAAAAGTAGAAATTGACGGTTCATGCGTCGCTAATGCATACAACGGGATGCGCCCTAAACTCTACGGCAAAGCAGAGCCATAAAAACGAAGCCTTGGTTTTAGTTAAGATAAAAATGAAGTTGTTCACTCTATAATTGCTTGCCTTGTGGGTAGAGAGAGCTGTTGTCACCCACGAGAATGAAATTAATGGCCCGTTTATCCAGAAGCAAAATGCACCCAAGACACCAAGGTCGTCTTGTCTGTACCGAAACCACAGGGAGTTGGGTAGCAGCACCATGTGAACGGCCTTGGAAGGGGCACTCATACTTGTTGCCAGGGCACAATTTTCTGACAACGTTGCACATCGAAGATTGGGGCATCTTAGCATGTGCACTATTTAACAAGATGAATTTGTTCGATGTGCACTTTAATGTGGCATGTATGTATGTTAAACTTTTCTCGCACCGTATGTTGCCAGCCATGCTAAATGTGAGCACTGTGAAGTCATTTGTGTACAATATGCTATGGATTTCACATAAACACAACAAAGGTTTGCATTCATTTACAAAGGCAAAGGCACTGGATTCCACGAGTTTATGAAAATAGAAGCATTAACAACAGTAGCAAATTTTGATTTAAAGCTTTCGTGACTGCAGTAATTCATATTCTTAGTTTTTTCGGTAAAGTCACGTTGAAGAGAAACAACAAAATATATATAAAACAATAAAAAATTCTCACGACGTTTCGACCATAACTCAAACGGTCGTCATCATCAGATGATGATGATGACCGATAGTTATGGTCGAAACGTCGTGAGAATTTTTTATTGTTTTATATATATTTTGTTATTTTGTTGTTTCTCTTCAACGTGACTTTACCGAAAAAACTAAGAATAACAGTAGCAAAGTTTCTATTTAAGCAGCTTTTATTTACTTGTCATGCTTTCAAAGCGCAAGACGAAGGCATGGAATGTATTAAATTGTCCACGACAGCGCCAGCAGGTACGATGTTATTTAAAAGTGACATTATGGTTCAGGTGGGAAATAAAACGATGCTGAATTTCACAATGATACACTCCTCGTAAATAAATAAGCAAAGAGTGCCACTACTGATTTGCTGGCTGAAATTATCAATCCAAATTGCCAAATGGTACTGCTGACATCGCAAATTTTCAATTGACATGGATCATTATTTTAAGACAACTTCTCAAAATGGTGTGAACGCCCACGAAATGTAATACAAGTAAAAAATAATTGCCTTGTCTAGATGAGCATTACTGCACAAAACAGCAGTGGCAGAGTAGGCCACGCACCCTTCTAGGGCAGTGATTAGACATCATCAGTGCGAAGGCCGCCACACATGTGAAACCATTAGGGTTTGACAGCACGGTGATGATGATGATGGGGGGGGTGTTTTCACATGTTGTGTATTGTCGGGGAAGGCCGCACTACAAGGCCACCAGGGGCCACCAATGGCCCCGCAGGCCTTAAGATGAAGCACACCCAACTAAACCATGCGGACAGAATTTTCATCCGATTTCAGCAGCTAAGCTGGTTTACGCCTGGACAGCACTTGGGCTGGTTGTCCACCACGCACAGAGAGGCTGCTGTAAGCTACTGCATATGGAATGTGGTGGACAGCAGAGGGCAAGTGCAGTGATATCCATTGTTGTACTGTAGTTCTGACACGTAAAAAGTAGATAAGATCTGTGTCAGCCGGATCGCGGCCTGTTTAGCCATGACCGCGACTGCATAAAAAAAGAGACCGTACGTTTTTATAATGTAGTGATTAACCCAAGGATAACATGAACTTAACTCCAATATTCTGAGATAGTAGTAATAGTACTGTACTTCTACGCTCTCTGCCTTCATCAACCCGCGTCGACTAGCGTGGTGAAGTATGTTCAAATTAGTCCCAAAACCCACACAGGATTAGGAGAGGCCCTCATCCAGCGGCGGATCGATAAATGGGCTCTGACATGTACTGACAGGACCTCGCACGTGCAATTTGCAGCGCGATTTGTTCACGTGCTGACGTTATGTGCGGAAGCAAGAGCCGATTTTGATGCGAGGCCTTCATCCAGCAGTGGCCATGCGATGAAGAACGCTCTCCAGAGCTCCCTCCAGGCCGAGGCCCGAGGCTCTCCTGCTCGCAGTAGCGCGAGAAAAAGTTATTGCGGTGGGGGGGGGACGGCACCTTCACCTCTCGTTGTAATAAAAAAGACAAAGAGATGAAGTGGCAGAGGTGAAACGTGGCGAGTTTTAAAAACTGCGTCCAGGTGACGCGGTAGAAAATGTGAAGGCTGTAAAAAAAAAAAACTCTTTGTTAAATCCGATAGCTTAGTCAGTACTTCCGAGCTACTTCAGAGAAAAATGTGAGAATAGCCCCAGCATAAGTAGCGCGTATTTATATAACATTATAACATTGAATTCCCGTGGCATTACACAATTACCAGACCCGCGTGCAGGCTCCCACACAAAGTACAACCTTACAACCAATGTCATCCATTTCTAATGCCTGCGTTCTTCAGCTCGCAACTTTCTAAGAAAACGACCAGGTATGTGCAATTCACCCGCTGACTGGCAGAATGAGCACCGGTCATCCTTGCTGCGCCCAACTTCATAAGCAATTGGCGATGATGAATTACAGCACTAATTACCGGTTGTTCCATCATTACGCGTGTCGTTAACAGGGTAATGACACATTGACTAGCGAGGAGCGCAATGTGAATATTGTAAATTGACAAACAAGGCCGTGTCGACCTGCTACACCCACAACCATGACAACAACTACCCCCCCACGCGCCACCAGTGAACTCCATGGGGTAAAACGCTTTGTTCGATTCGATGTTTCTCCATTGCTTACAAACTTGGAGACATATTGAAACTTGGAAATGCTTGCACACCACGCCAACAAACAACAAGGCTCATCATGTAATGAGCAAAGAAGGAAGTGCCAATACGTGGCGCCGGCTCACCGCCCCACTGCCTTCCTCGCTGGGTCCGTGGTTCCTCATGCCTCCAAATCATTCTACGTTTTCGAGAGCGAGCATATAGTGTGTGCGTAATTTTTATTATTATAATATTAATACTGAATCATGTAAAGACCATCCCCCCTGGAAAAGTCAAAACCTGGATAAACAGAAGCAGGTTATTCATGGCCTTGTAACATAACTTATGAGCCAAGTATTAATCCAGCGCTGGAAAATAAACCCAAATAAGTGCAGAACCGATTTAACGTGATGTTTATTTGTGTGCTTCGGGAGCCAAGTTTAAATCGCTGGCAGCTGCTTCCAATTATCCGGATCGGCATTCTGACCTCTGATCCACCCCACAAACTCACAGGAGTGTTTTTTTTTTTAACTGAACGACAGGTGGCAGCTCAACACAGTTAATCTGCGCTATGGATGAGCCACAGCCGGATAAACGGGGTTCGACTCTGTAGCTGAACTGCAATGTGACCTATACAACGACCACCACCCCCCCCCCCCTCGCATAGCCTTTAACAGACTGTGGGGGGGAGAGTGTTGTTAGCGAGCACCTATGAAGGCCGGCACGGCACACGAGGGGGTGAGTGGCCATAACCAAACCCGGCCGCTTGGTCCCCCCAGTGGCGATGTTTCCACAGCAGGTACTCGTGTGAAGCCGAGTCGACCTGGGGCACACGCCCAGGAGCCATTCAGATAACCATCACTGGCGTTGTGGCCGTGAGCGGCAATCGAACTCGGGTCGCCGGATTCGTAGCGCGGCGTGCCAACCACTTCACTTCCGCTCCCCACTGAAGACACAAAGATCAAAGATCCCCCATATAGCCTTAACAGACTGTAGGGGCAAGTGCTGTTAGCGAGCACCTATGAAGGCCGGAACGGTACACGAGGGGGTGGGTGGCCAGCACCACGCCCGACCGCCTTTGTCTCCCTAGTGGCAATGTTTACACACCGCACCAGGTACTCATTTGAGGCTGAGTCGACCTAGGGGAGGCCCGGGACCGGTTCAGATAATCGTCACTGGTGTTGGCCGTGAGCGGGAATCGAACCCTGTGTCGCCAGGTTCATAGCGCAGCGTGTGTGTGTGAAGACACACACACACACACACGCGCACACGCACGCACACACACACACACACACCCACCGACGCAGACGCACAAAACGGCCACGCGCCGGCCCCCACCTTTCCCAGCAGGGTTCTCGCTGCCGGCGCTGGTGCGCACCGAGGCCCCGCGACACGCGCGCTCTAGGCTGTTGTGCTGCTTGGCCAGCTGCTCCAAGGTCTCCTCGAGGCGCAAGCGCTGCTCACGCTCATACTGCACCGTCTTCTGCCACTTTTTGCCCTGCGACTGTGCTTGCTCCAGGAAGTCGTGGCAGGCCTGGGGGGGGGAGGGGGGGAGGAGGGGGCAGTGTGCACGTCAGTCTCTGGGCTGGCACTTTTTGCACGCAAGTCAAGTAACGGGCAGCCAGGTTGACTCAACGGAAGAGCGGGGCGGCTCGCGACCCGAGGTGTTGCGAGTTCCAATCCTGGTTCGTGGTTGACCCAGAAATGTCACATCCCCCTTGGGGGGGGGGGGGGGGGGGGGTCGGGTCGATAAAATAAACTACCGCCTTAAGGCGGTGGCGGCGGCAGCGGCGACGTCACCCGTGGTTTTTCTGATGTGGGCAACTCGGCCCGCCCCCCCTGTCAAGTTTCTACATTTTGCTCAGGGCTGGAAACAGGGGGGGGGGGGGGAGATGAGCACCGCACTCAAGGCTCAGCGGAGCAAGAAATCACTCTGACGAGGGGGAAAAAGAGAAACAGAGATCAGTGGGTAGAGCAATCGATCGGAATTCACACTTATTTTCGTTATGTTGCTGTTGGCAAATCAACGCACTCCACGAGGGTACACCTCGAGTTGACCTGTGTCGTGAATATGTTCGTAATCGTTATTGTCATCAGCCATGATCGATCTGCTGCTACATGAATCTCTCCGCAAATCGTCGCACCATCTCTCACAATCCTGGACGCGAGGCAATTTCATCACTCCACCTCCTCCCGTGGACGTCCTCTCTGACACGTTCCATCCCTGGGTCGCCACTCGGTTATTACTCGTGATTATCACTCCACAATATTTTACTCGGTATAATTTCTTGTAGCTATTATGTAACTAGATTTTTTTTCATCACTTATTCAAACACGACACTAATCACGCGAATGTATACAAGAGCAACGCGAGCAGAAATCTGTCCACATGCGATCTCAGATTACACGCCTCAGCTTAAACAAGGCTTGTACACAGTCAGCATTTTCAGAAAGACTGTGCTACATCGCAGATGCGCCAAACCCTCAAAGGGGCCCCATTGTGCAGACTTCGCATGTCCACACATTGACTCGTGCACAACACGCAGAGGCTGCAAACCGTACTGTGACGCCTGCCAAATCACAGCATCAAACACGAAAGTGTCACGGCTTCCGGCCACCTAGTGTCAGATCAAGTTTGTAAAATTAGTACGGGCGTAGCAATTAACAAACACCCCTGGACATTCCATGAACTGTTACGATTCTGGGCCACAAATCGATTCTATGTTTCTAGGTATTTTTTTCCGCCCTCCTTGTTCAGTACTGTTTGCTCCGGCAGCCGAAAGGTAAAGCAAGTACAGTATATAATTTTCATTTACATAAAAACATCGATTCTTTTCAAATGTGACCCGATGCATGTATCAAGAACTTTAACAATCAATATATCGATGAATTGGTGCACCCTTATGCACGAGAGTGAACGTGTGGTAGACCTACATGGCAATACCTTGTGCTCGGGTTTATTGCAATCTGTACTTATTCGCAACAGTTTCCTTTGCTAGATACATGTCTGCAATATGATGATAAGGCTCCAGAAAGGGCCTGAATCATTACATCGATGATAATCCATTCTTCACCTAATCGATACATCCTTTGAATCTCTAGCCCAAGATTGTGAAAAAATATATACATGCAAATTGAATAGTTAATATACGCTAATTATGCATTAATGCCTGGAGACCGACAGGGTAGAGGAAGATGGAAAATGTGATGGAACTGAAATAAGATGACCAAAGAGGCCAGAGAATAAATAATAAGAGATGAATGAATGTGGACCAATGAAAGAGTGTGTGGGACGATTGAAAGGAACAAGTAAATTATGGTATTCTTGGTTCCACCGGGAAAGTCACGTAGATAAAATCAAATTTTAAATTATTACAACTAAAACAACAAATAAAAATAATTAATTGAAAAAAAAATGTGGGTTGAGAATATGCAAAAATCCAATATAAAGAGGAAACTCTACAGCAGCGGTCCCCAACCTTTTTGGCACCAGGGACCGGTTTCGTGGAAGACAATTTTTTCACGGACCAGTGGGGGGGGGGGGGTTCATCATTGGGTCTTTCCCCCTTTTCAAAGAAGCTCTCCAGCGACGTTTGTTTTTTTTACTCATTGTGGCTACTAGGGGTTAGAGCTTGTGGGCTTTACCAAAACTGTGACTGAGACGAGTGCGCAGTGCGGGAAAGAGGCGCAGACGGAAGTGGTGAATAATAAAATAATGGGGGTGGGCTACACGCGCGGACTCACCGCTCTCACCTCCTGCTGTGCGGCTCGGTTCCTAACAGGCCGCGGACCGGGACCGGTCCGCGGCCCGGGGGTTGGGGACCCCTGCTATACAGAAAGGCAAGTCCGGGAGTTACCACAGTGCACAAAACGGTACGAAATAAACAACAAATACAGTGTGGATAAGAGACAAAAGAAATTTAACGCAGATGAAAGAAAGCAAAAAAAAGTGTTTTGTCAGCGCTGTATTTTTTTGCGTATGTTGTTTCGCCCAAGCTGTATTCGTTTAGAGAGCACGGAGTATACACGGAAGTGCAAAAGATGCAAAGGTGCAATAAACTAAAAACAAAGATGAGACGAAAAAAAACTGTGCGTTAAATACAAACGACACCTGACTGACAACGGGTGTAGTTACTTGTGACCCAGTCCAGATTAAAACCACAAAATCGGTGGCTTTTGGCTGGCCATCGAACAAAGACGGTCACTGCATTGCGCGCTTTCAGATTTGCTTCTGCAGCTGTCTGGAACGCTCTTTCTTCCGATGTTAGGAAGGAATTGGAGCCGTGCACTTCTGAATCACCCAGATTGAACACTCATTTCTTTAGAACTGCTTTTTGTATTTAATTTGTTGTCCTTCCCCCACACCTCCGTCGAGCACGGCTGACTATGTAAAGTGCAAAGGAAACGTACATACGTATAAGGTGACTGTCGGGGAATGCGATAGGTCGATATGCAGTGAGCATCATTTAGTTGATCCTTAATTTTTCCCTCGAAGCAAACTCTAGGAGAATGAATATTCGCATTATTATTTGCCACAATTAATAATGTCAAACGAAATATATGTATCCAAAAATTAGTTGCCATTGACGATATGAAGGGAGGGGTGGGGAGGGAACAAATTATTCAACAGCTGAATCGCAACTCTTTATAGATTTAAGTGCTCTAGCTGCAGCATATTCTACACCCACCGGGCATTCCTTAGGTCGCTCAACAAACTGCTAAGCAGGCTCAACTTTGCTTCGCTTTTTGGATCTGGTGAGATCAGGCGCACATCCCGGATGATTTGTGTCAAAAGGGAAAAAAATACATGAATGAATGCGAGGCAATAAAAGGAGCAGGCAAGAATGATAAAACGCACAATGCAAACAAAACGGGAACACGTAGAGGAGCTTCAAACAACGCTGTGGTAATGATGTAGTTTAATTGGTACCCCTAGGTATATCACAGCAAACGGATGTTTTCCAGAACAACTGGCTCATGAAACAAGTCAAACAACGCTCCATGCTCAACATATGAAGCAACTGGCGGGACCCCGGGGTCCCATCACTGCCCCGGGGTGGGAAAAACCGCGTAGCGACACGAGTCTTGTTGCCTTACCGACAACAACAAAACTAGTGGTCAATCGATTGGCCTCGTCGAGAGCTACTCGGGGCACTGAGTTTCGTAAAAAGTTGAAAAATTACATAACACGTTAAATTCACTGCCTTGGGGGGGCGGCGGGGCTCGCCTTGGCAAAGAAGCCGAGGATCGACGGCTGACCGGAGGGCGTCGTCGCCGCGCGCGACTGCGGCGGACGCCCCCCGGGGCTCGCGTTTGGCCGGTGGGGTGGCGCCCATCGTGTCGATCGCCGCCTGCTGGCGCTTGTTGGCGCCAGCAGGCGGTGTCCTTGCGGGGTCACGAGTGGGCGGACTGAAAAATAATAATTATTGACCTGATTTTTGCGGGACCCCGGGATCCCGCCAAATGATTCATATGATTTCCAACACGTACCACTGGGTGTTATTTAACGGTGCCGCTGGCTCTTCCCCCGAGACACATTACCACCCCATTAGACCGTGTGCTGTCTGTGTTGTTCTTAGTGTTGACGTTCAATGGTATGTGGAATGTTCTAAGGGCTTTTTTGTATTGAATAGCAGAATGGGAGCAAAGGCATGCATTTTTGCCTTCGTATCATTTTCATCATCATCATCACAGTCGGCATCCACGATTCATCCGATGCCTCCTCAAGTCATCGCCATCTCTCATAGTCCTGCGATGCAATGGGCCATCTAGCACCTGCAAACGAACTGCCATCAGATAACTGTCTAAAATTACTCAAGCAATCTGTTGTTTTTGGTGGGAGGCACTCTACAACACAATATTAAAAGGTATAAATCTTGACTTAATGCTTTCGTGACTGCAGGAATTCATATTCTTTGGGTCTTTCGGTAAAGCCATTGGCGTACCTTCAAAAACAAGTTGAAGGTACCCCAATGGGTTCTCCCTTATCTCCAGTTGTAGCCACTGTTTTCACGGAGAAATTTAAACAAGATGCCATCCAGGCATCCACCGTACGTCCTTCCTTGTGGAAGAGATACATAGATGATACGTTCGTCATCTGGCCACATGGCCTACCAGCTCTGGACCAATTCTTCAACCACATAAATTCCATACACCCAGCCATCAAATTCACCATGGAGGTGGAAAAGGATGGCAAGTTACCATTCTTGGATGTTTTAATCGAAGAGAGACCAGATGGCTCAATGGGACTGGCTACAGGAAAGCCACCCATACAGATGCCTACCTAAAACCTGACTCCCACCACCATCCATCCCAGAAGAATTCCCTCATCAAAACTCGACACCATCGAGCTCGTTGTATTTCCGACCATCACCACCTAGCCAGTGAACTGGAGCACGCACACCAAGCCCTCAAGAAGAATGGATATTCAGACTACACAATCCGTAAAGCTATCACTCCAACCATTGGGAAAGAACCATCTGAAGACCCAATCAAAACCATCACCTTGCCAGACATCGCAGGGGTCACCAATAATATTTCCAAAATCATGAGCAAACACAAGATCCAGGTACGATTCAACACAGTACATAAAATTCGTGATTTGATCCCATCTGTGAAGGATGTGATCCATGACATGCAATACCCCGGTGTCTACAACCTAAGCTGTCTGCGGCAGCAGTTACATTGGGGAAACTAAGCGACATGTCTCGGACCGGGTTCGTGAACATAAGGCAGATATGAAACACGGTAGGACCAATACCTCAGCCGTGGCTGATCATTATTTTAATGTGGTGGGCGCACACAAAATAGATTTTGCCAAGACGAAGGTACTCTGTAAACCCACTGGCTGTCAGCAAAGATTCGTTCATGAAGCCATCCAGATATATAAACACAGACACAATTTGATATTCCCTTCCTACCTACCTATGTTTGCAGTTATTTTCGACTCTCTGAGTTACATTGACTAACACATCCACCGTGAGCTGTGTTAGTAAATGGCGGCTTTCCATCCTTTTCCACCTCCATGTGGCGATGACTTTTACTAGCTCTCTCCGAGCTTACATTTACAAGCATCTCTAAATCTTTGTAAACAGGGCTTTGATTGGGGTAGACCTACTGCCAGGGACAGAGACCTCTCCTCCATTAAAATTAGCTGTCCCGCCCATCTCTAAACCTTTATAAACAGACTGCCTCAGCAGCTTTCCCCCTCTTTTTTCACCTGATGACGATTGCTTGTGTTGCGATCGAAACGTGATATTGTTATTATTTTAATTTTTTTTTCTATCTACGTGGCTTTACCGAAAGACCCAAAGAATATTAAAATGTATAATAAGCATACCGTCAGCTGATGCAACGCTGATTCCACGATTAGTAATTAGTACATTTACACCCCAACTACATTAAAACAAACAAAAATACACGTCATAATAAAGTCTGGCCAGTGTGGAAGAGTAGGCCAAATATTCAGCGAGGCCTCTCTTAGAACTCCCTCTAGTGGAGGCCCTTCCGTGAGCAATGGCATGAACAAGAAATTTTAGGGTTGCACCTTTAACTTAACGTCGTGAAATTTGGAATAATCAAGCAGTGAATTTTATGAAACTATCACGAAATAATCTGCTTTAAATACAATGGCAATTCATTACAAGGTGTACACTTGTCAAATTTAACAACCACAAGAATGTCAACTCATGGTTTATCAATTTATTAGATCCGCGTGCTAATGTCACCAAATGTTATTTGTGAGTGTGTAATTAAAACGAATAGACGTGATTTTTTTTAATTGCCGAGCAAATCCTTTAACACTCACAACATGTTCTTATTTTTTTTTTCTTTAGTTGACCCAAAATTTTGTTGCGAAAGGATTGAAATCATGCCACATTAAAACTAATGTTCAACATAAATGTTTTCCTCCAAAACAATATTTGGTGCAATTACAAGCTAAAGAACTACAGCATACTGAGAAAAATTAGCGATTTGCCATCATGGTGTCCCGCTGCACGAACAGAATCTTTATTTTTACTGGAGGAATCTGACGAGCTGAGTTAGACAAAACACAGCCACCAGATACACACTTGGAGTCAACGTGAGATGTGCAGCCCTGCTTCACTTGTTTAGAGGGGCCCCTCCGGAGAGTATTTTTTGCCTACTCTTCCCAAAGACAAACTGCGGTAAATCCATTTGTACCGCTATACAGAGGTGGGGGGGGAGGGAAGTTGAGAAACTTGCACCGTTGTTTCAACTGCCGTGCAAGGAATATCTCATCGAACCGGCAACCTCTGGGTTGCAAGTCCGGTGTGCTAACCGTTTCTCCACTGTGACAGCAACCTATACTTACAGCAGTGCATTAAAGATCATCATGTAATTTTTGTTTCTATAACAGTGACCGATGTAATACTTCAACAAAAGCAAATCTCGTCCACCATCCCCACGTGCTGTTCTTAAAGGTTCAAGGTTGTGCAAGCAAGGAGTGTTATCCTTACTGCATTCGCATTCATTTACGTTCGGTCATTGTGGAGTTGGTCAGGCGCCGTGAGACTCAAGTGTGTGCATGGTGAAAGGACCTTCGTATCATGAATGGGTGCCACGGTGGCAAGATGTTAAGTACCTCGCCTGGTATACAGGAGGTGGTGGGTCCGATCCAGACCCTGACGCATGTATATTTGTAGTTTGCAAATTCTCCCGTGGTCGCGTGGATTTTTCTATGGGTCTTCCGGGTTTTTCCCTCCACATTAAGAATCAACATGCGTTGTGAGTATTTGGCTGCTAGAAATGTCCGCTTGGTAAGCAACTTTCTTGAGCAGTCGTTTGCGACCAGGTTGCTTAGGAAAAAGAACGATATTGTTCAGTGGGCCTTGCCTGGTAAAATAGATGTTTTTTAATTAAATTTAATTAGCTGCCACATATGAGCCACGACCTTTAATAAGAATCCAAGATAATAATAATGATGATCAGCCCTTTATCAATCCACTGCTGGATAAAGACCTCTCATTGCCTTGTTGGTCAGGTGAGTTGTTTGACCATATTTCACTCACACTCATTGACATGGGTTGGTGAAGAGGGCCAACCCAGGACCGGTTCAGATATCACTCGCCACTGACGTTAGCCGTGGCCGGGAATTGAACTCAGGTTGTGAAGGTTTTTAGCGCGGTGCGCTCACCACAGAACCACCTTCCCACCCGTGCCCTTTACAGAGAGATAAATCCCGCTTAAATCTGCTCCACCTGGTTGACGGGCATCAACATCAAATTGTAGGGTTAGTCTTGTTAGAGAGAGAGAGAGCCACATTCATTACACATTCATAAGTCCGCAAAAATATAACTAACGGAGTAAGAAAAAAGCGATTTGGTCAGTTCATTAAAGTAAAAAAAAAAATCTGGAGAACAGTGTGATTGGATTGACAAGCTCGTTTTGATAATCATGCCTCTTCAGTCCATGCACCCAACCCCTATTCCTGCGATGCAGTTCTACAATCTGAAATTAACAAACGCTATCGATTCACAGCAGTTTGCGAATCCAATTTCCACGGAACGTCTGTTTGTTATTTGATGACCATCGATGGAGAAGGGGGCAAAGCAACCATTTGCGTGTCAAATTCAAACTTTTCAAACGTCAACTTAAAAAATATATTTTTAAGCCACCCCTCACTGTTAAGTTCAATCCCAAACTTTATAGTGTAAAGCTATGGAAATCACTGAAGGCGGATCAGTCTCAAATCTTGTGAAATAAACGAATGAACGAGAGCAGGATGGAGTGCATTTGGAAAGCTCAGCGTGGTAATAAAAAGCGGCATTCCAACGTGCCTGAAGAAAGCACGTTTTTAATTGGAACCTTTTGCCAGCTATGAAGTGTGGATCAAAATGAATGGAAGCTGACAAAGAAAATGGAAGGAAAGCCAAAATAGTGTACAAAGAGATGCAATCTCACTGTCCTCTCTACAAACGGTCCACTGTCCAAAGCAGGCAGTGTTAACGGATGCACTTGGGTTGGTGGGTGCGTTGAATGTGCCTATTCTGGGGATGCTCGTTTTGTCAGGTCGTTCAACTGAGAAGCAGAACAACTCGCCAGTTTTAATGTCAGTGAAGTATACAAACTCATATTTTTTTTTCATAAAACCGCGGGCCCCCCCCCCCCCCCTATAGTTTAAATGGTCTTACCAATTACATCTGGTGACACGCCAGCTTTTGTTTTACAAGCCTGACTTGCTGCCGATGCAATCCTGAAGGTTGAAACTTCGGTCCAGAGATTGCTTGCTTAAAGGACTGCTGCTGGATAACTGTCCTGGAAAAGCCAATAGGCCCACGGACTGAAACACATTTTTAATTACTATAAGAGTTCTGCTTATAGATTAATAAAAAGAGCTTGACCGATGACATGCAACGAATGGTTTTGGGTCGTGATTTTCCAAGTTTTACTGTTAATAGGGCAGACATGAATCTGTATAACACTTTGTGATGCATCCGTTAATTCAATTTTAAATGTAAACAAGTGTAATATTCACGTAGAGCGCTTTGCCCATCCACTGCTGGACCAAGGCCCTCCCACCACCACTGTCGGTCATGGTGGTTGCCCGATCACAATTCACCAACGCTGGTGAATCAGTGTAAGTTGGCAAAGACGATGAACGCACACCCGTAATTTAGACTCACATTGATCATAGCATTGGAGGTGATGCGGAAGAGGGTGGCGCGCTCATTGACGGCCTTGAGCTTCTCGCTGCCCTCGGGCGGCAGCTTCAGGGTTTCCAGGTCGTTGAGCGAGCGCTGGAGGGCGGCTCCGTGCTTGCCGATCAGGTCGTTGCACGTGCTCAGATCTTCGAGCTTGGAGGACAGCGAGCGGAGCGTGGTCTGCAGTTCTGTCTTGTCAGCCTGTGCGCCTGACTTCTCATCGTCCGAGTCATCTGTGAAAAACAGAAATCACTTTTTTATCTATTTATAGTAGGTCCCATTTGTTCTCAAAAATTGCCGTTTCGCTCTGAGCTTCTAGGAATTCATATTTAGAGCAGATCAGTTTTAAAGCGGATCAGTTTTAAAGCAGCTCAGTTTTAAAGCAGCTCCGATAGTAATAATAAACCCGATTCAGCGCACGCACATTTCACAAATCAGACGCATTGTTTGATCGGGGACTTGGTAGGCGCGGAGCCAAATCTCAAAGTGGCTTGACGCTGGCCTGGACAGAGGAGCCTTGAGCTGCTGCTCAACCCTAACCGTTAATGCTAAAAGTGGAATGTACACGAGGATTTATATGCACAATTCCATCCATGTAAATATACTCAATTTTTTTTATAATACTCATACGGTGTGTGTTTTTGTTGCAAGTGTGGCAAAAGCAAAGAAAACCACAGTTAGAGCCGAAATACATGTACTTACACTGCACTGTGCTAAAATTCCGTTTGACCAAAAAAATATTCCTACCTTATAGAGACAACGGTGCACATTTTCAGTTGGTATGTTCAGAATAAATGCGGTGATACCGATGGTCGCCTGACTGCACGAGCCAACAACGGACGCTTTAGCGGTGAGAGTTGTCCACTGCTAAGTCCGGGAACTTAAAAACCGTCTTTCTTTGGTCAAAGACACGTGACAGTTTACATTAATCAAAACGCAGCAGTCAAGCGTGAGCTACCCTCTCTTTCCTCGCTTGCCTCACTCAAATCAGAATGAGTCGGTAATTGGAAAACTTTGGCAAAGCGTCTCATCGAAAATGACAGCCGCGCCCTGCCATCGCAAGAGGCACATTCTTCTCACTTGCAGCATTCGTTTCCGAGCGGGTTACCGAACATCACCGAGCCAAGGGAAGTTCTTCGTTTGAGGCCAGGTCAGACCCCACTGAGGATATCGCGCGCATCATTTCACAAAACTATGGGAAATAACATGCCAGTTGCCATCAAATTAAACACCGCCGCTAATTGTGGCAGCGGTTAAGCAGCAGCCAATGTCACCCCTGTCTTGAAAGGCACCCACAAAACAAGGAGGGGAAAAAAAGTGCTCCAAACGAGAGAGAAAAAAAATTGTTCATCGCCACAAGGGCAAGTGGATACTTACAATGCGTCAGGGGGTCACAACAGCGTGGACGTCCGTGCATAATCAATCTGGCCCAAGGGCCAAAGAGAAATCGAATGTATTCTTTGTTATTAGCTTGCAATATATCGCTTCATATAATAAAATAATTCCTTAAGTTCACAAATCATCTATTGAATCGTGCTTGCAAAATTACTTACAGCATTTGCAAATGATATTTAGAGTTACACGCACTGCAATCCTATGACTTTGATTAGCACGGCTGGCTACGTACGGTGCGAAACAAGTTCAACATACATATATAAATATGTTTTTGTACAACAGCCTTGTGTCTGCTGGACGTGGTCCTCCCTGTGCTGTGTAGGTTGGGCGTGGGGGGCGGTTATTTGACTGTACCTAACCACGCTGCTCAGTACGGGTTGGTGAAGGTGGGCAGTGTAGGTATGGGAGCATCGAAGTATAAGCACAAGGATGGATATTGCTGCACGGCTCTCCTCCGCTGTCCACCATAAACCTGATGACACAACCTGTATGTGCGTGGCGGTCACCCATCCAAACACCATCAAGGCTCAACATTGCTTGGGCTCACGAGATCTCATGAGATCAGGTGCATTGCGGGCGCTTTAATCATGGGCATGAAAATTATATACTCATGTTAAATTTAGATCAATGGAGTAAACAAACTGCAGTAAAGAAGAAAACTGGAAATACCGTAATACATTCGAGATGGCGAAACATTTCCAGAAAAATTTATCCATTCTTGAATAAGATTATTTAGCGATGCTGTGTCGACAGCGGTGCACACGCACAATTAACATAAAACTCAACACATTCGTCATTAAAAACAGTGCCTTGAAAGGGACGTTATATAATAGGTGACATTTCAGGCAACGGCTCATAGGACATACATTCTTGAATCGGATTGTTGAGCTTGGATGAATTATCCAAAACTCCCAAAAGTCACAATGTTCCACTGCAGCAGGCATGCATTTGAAACACAATAATTAATACCAGTAATAACAATAACCAGTAATAACAATTAAAATAGAAATAACAAACGCAGGGAATTAGGCTTGAAAATATTAAATAAGTTCAGAAATTCCTGTGGTTTAAAATTGGTCATACTGTACTTCGTTTTGAGATATATCAACGAGGACACAAGTCTGAATGCATTTGGAAATGTCCTCAACCTTGTGGATTGATGGGCTGATTTTATGTTACAGGTCTCACGCTAAATTGTTCATCATCAATATCATGGGCCATGGTCAATCCACTGCTGGATGAATCGATGAAGGCCTCCCCAAATCGCTGCCACCGATCGCGATCCTGCGATGTAATGATCCGACCAGCATCGTTTCATCTGGACATGTGAAAAAGAGCTTCAGAGCTCATCGGATTCCTGCAGTCTAAATGAAGATTCTGAATTACTCGGTTAGATGTCAAATTTTCCATGACGTTTAAAATAAAACAGCAATTGGTCAAACCCAGTAGTGTACTGTAATTCATGTGTCCTGGGTATAGCTACAGCACGCGAGTGGGGGAGGCAACACAAACACCGATAATATAGTAATAGCTCAATTATGTGGCGTATCGTACACATTATCGCCTTGATAAAAAGAAACCCTTTGTAGGAATTAAACGGTTCAACGCAGCTCGCCATCGCATACTTACTGACCGCAAATGCGGCGCTTTTAAACTATCGTCCTTTCATTGCATGGCAAGAGGGACGATTCTCGATCATTGCGTCCGACTACAAATTCATGAGCAAGTCCGGCTGAAATGTCCCTTTGTTGGCAGGATACCAAATAAAAAAAACCCAGCAAACAGTCGGTGCCATTGATGTAAGCGTCCTGGGAATTGGCCCGGAGGAGCATACTAAGTGCTCGGGGGGAAAAGGAGGGGGGAGCATATACAGTTGGATCATGCCAACTGAAATCAGGGGAAGATGACAAAATATATACACAGTGTGTGTTATATATATATACACACACGCCACAGTCTGATCATTCTGAAACCACCAACCTTTAACGCTTATCGGGAGTCTGATGACTACATGTGTAAGTTGCGAAGACGATTACAAGCGTGACGTATTGCTCACTGCAAGAATGCGCAGTGATACATTCAGTGACATCGGTACATTATGACTGCAATGCGTCCCAGTACCGTTTAAAAATACATTTAAAAATTACTATTTGTTCTCCCCTCTCAGGTCACCCTTTACAGGTACTTGCCCCCTTTCGCATTTATAAAAGGGAAATACAATTAAGTGGTTACAGTCGCAATAATCCTTGTTTTATTCATACCGCAAGGCAAGAACGCACCGCAGTCATCTCGACGTGCATCATGCTTTCAATGTACACACCCAAATAAACGACAAACTAAACATTTTCCTTTATTTTATCAAGTAAGGCGCACTTCGGAAGCAACCTGTGCCACAAATGAGAGCTCAACGAAGCGGCTTATCGCATGGAAATTTGGAGCAGACCAAATACCCGAAACGCGTGACGTCGATTCTGAATGTGGAGGGAAAAATCGGAGGGCACGGAGAAAAATCCACACGACCACGGGGAGACCATGCAAACTCCAAATACACAGCAAGCATCAGGTTCGGGAACAAACCCACCACTTCTTGTACACCAGGCGCGGTAGTCAACATCTCGCCACCATGGCGCCCTAAATAACGGTAACATACAGCCCTTTATCAATCCACTGCTTGATAAGGGACTCTGCCACGCCACATAAGCCGTGGCGATTGTTTAAAACCACATTTCACCACACTTGTCAGCACAAGTTGACAAGGGCCGGTTCAGACATCACTCGCTACCGTTGCGAGTTGTGGCCGGGAATTAAACGCAGGTCACCGGGTTTATAATGCAGGGCACGAACCACTGTAGAAAACTAAGGCCTTGACCCTCTACCCGACTCACAGCCGTTGTCTTAAAGGAAGACATGCCCCAAAATTCCAAGCGGCGATGAGCTTCTCTCCAATGGGCTTCCCAGTTGGACTGGGTGTTGTTCACTGCATGATGCTCGACATCCGACTCCACGTGCCTGGAGACTCTTCTTCAGCAACTGAAGCTCCCGGCACGTGGTGTGAAACGTCGGACATCGCGCTGAACAACACACAGCACAACCGTGAAAACCTTCGCGGCAGCGATTACCCTGCAGGCGTACGCTGGGACGATGCGTCCCAAACTGTCAGACACAAATATGAAGGTTTATTAAAATAAAGACTTTAAATTTGAGGTCAGGTTCACCATCACTGCCCTCCAGTGTCATCACTTCATTCACACTAAAGAGACATTGGTAATACAACGTACGGAGGGCTTCAAAAGCTCACCAAATTAGTCGCAAGTATTTTGTTAATCGTGCTTGTACACTAGGAAAGGGCCAAGGGCCGGTTCAGACATCGCTCGCCACAGAGGTTGCCAGAATGTGACTTTACAAGTCTGGTTTCTCATGAATAAAGCTTCAAATTCGTACTGAAATTCGTGTTCAAACATGGACACACGGCCTAGATCAATATCTACAAGGGTTGCTGTATTGTCCGTTAAGTAAGAAGCACCCCAAACGTATGCCAGGTGTCAAATAAAATGATACCGATTTGGTGACACACACACCTAGCAGATGGGTTGTATCTTCCTTTAATGAAAACATAAAAATCAACCATCTTTGACACTCATCATACATACAATCTGTATTCCCAGGACATAAAAAAGGTTTCAACGATTTGAATCATGTGATTTAATAAACGTTCATAGTTAATTGGAAACGTGGGTATTTATTTTTGTATTTCATGAACTGCTAATTAACCGTAAACAGGACATTGCATCATAACTTATTTAAGTGCCGTCGAAAATAAATTGCCTCCAAGCGCTGT